ATATAGGGAAATAACACTTTTCGGTATATATTTTATCCATTTTCAGCAGAAAATTGCTCAAACTTAGTCAGAATCATCTTGGGTAAATGAGAGTTTTACTTTGTAAAATTAGGATTCCTGCCCCATCCCCAGGGGCTAGGGCGGGGCCCCAAAGGGAACATTTACCAATATTTTCAAATTCTTATCCATTGATGACATGACAAGTATTGTATTTCACTTAGTTTACATGCTGATTTCCACATCACATCATAACAATAAAATAAAGCTACCAGTACCTATGATATAACTCAGGTGACCGCTAAGGCCCTTGGGCCTCTTGTCATAGATTTGAAGTAATAAATATGAAGTGTGGTTTTTTTGTCTCCATTTGTTTTTCCAAGATAATGAAATGGAGGAAACATGCAAAAAAGAAAAGGTCCACAAGCCAGAGAGGTTCTGGTTTTCTGAACTTTTGCAAGAGGTCTAAGTTTCCAGGATCAGAAGACAATCGTATAGAGAAAAACGGACGCACTTTTGGGGCATGTCTTATGTGTAATGAGTGGAGGGCACTTGATGACAAGGCAAAGAAAAAGTAAGTAGGGTGTCCCAGGACGATTGTGTGTGATGTAATCCTGTTCTGTCTAAATGTTTATGAGTTAATATTGACCACAATTCGCATTTCATGAAATAGTGGATCTGGAGCATTGACAAGATTTTGACAGTCGAGTCAACTAGGAATAAGTTAAGGTTGTTAGTGTTTGAATGTCTTATGAAAATAACCAAATTATATCCATATGTAAATGAAGGATTAAGTGGGTTCGATTGTAGAATCTACGTTATATTAGATAGGGATTGATGTTATACAAAATTATTATAGTGGTCACTTTTAATAAGATAAAGATCACTATATTTACTTTCATGCCATTTTAGCTCGCCAGGCCCGATATGACAGTGGTATTGTATCATGTGACAGTTATATAAATATATTTGTTTTACTGAACTTTAGAAACAATATCATCATCACATATATCAGTGAAATGTTATCATGTGACAGTGATATTGTGACATGTGACAGTGATAATGTATCATGTGACAGTGTTAATGTTGTTGTGATATTGTGACATGTGACAGTGATAATATATCATGTGACAGTGTTAACGTTGTTGTGATAGTGTGACATGTGACAGTGGTGTTGTATCATGTGACAGTAATAGTGTATCATGTGACAGTGATATTGTGGCATGTGACAGTGATAATGCATCAGGTGACAGTGTTAATGTTATTGTGACATGTGACAGTGGTGTTGTATCAAGTGACAGTGATAATGTATCAGGTGACATGTGACAATTGTGGTGTATCATGTGATAGTGTATCATGTGACAATCATGTTGTATCATGTGACAGTGATATTGTGACATGTGACAATGACATGTATATGTATATTTATTTAACTGAACTTTAGATACACCAAGTACACAGGAGGATGTCCAGACCCTGCAACAGCCATCTATTTCCCCTATGAACAAGGTGGTGTCATCCCTGAGAAGTTTGAGTCTATTTTAAAGAACTTCTCAAGCAATGAACTCAAAAAGGTAACAAAGAAAAGTGAAATAATGTTTACTTTTTATACTCTGACAAAATGTGTGTAGTGTGATCTCAGTCAGTTCTAACTTACTGAAGTGTTTCCCCATCATCTGTACAAGGAAGTAGCTAGTTGTATATATAAATTGAACCTTGTGAAACTGCACACAATGAATTAATATTTACAAAATACCCAAATTTTCTGGGTAGCCTTTCTGCTACCCTACAGCATGCATATCACTGCCATTAGAACATGGTTTATATTTCAGGTAGTGAAGGATGGGTCGATAGGGCCGGCAGAGTTTAACACTATGATGAAGCAAAAGCTGATGAAGTCACTGGCAGAACCTGGCGAGTCTGTCGGGGCCTTGTGTGCCCAGGTAGGTCTTGCATGTTTCACATTTTTACATCCTTGCCTCTTATTGGAAAGAAATATCTTTTCCCAGGTAACTAATGGATATACATCCATGTGTTGGAGAAAAATATAAAACACAAATGAAAAATATACTGAATATCTTCTTGTATGGTACATTTGTTCTTATGACAGCTTGGAAATAACCAAAGTTACAAATGACTTGTAATCACTAATGTAGAATGTAATTTAAGTATGGAACCAGGTTTAATAGCTGGGTTCCATCTGACATTCAGAATAGTCACAGTATACTGATATATCCAACTTAGAATGGGTATAGTATTATATGAAGATTGAACAAATTCTTTTTCAATTTTATACAGGTATGCCCATTGAAAAAAATGCCATTCAATCCTTATCTATTTACATCCTAAATACTAAGTTATTATTGACCTAAATAGGGATATTCCCTAATATTTTTGATATCGAAATGTCTGTGTTGTCGGTGCAAACAGAATTCCTGGAACAGCCTAAGGTCACCAAAATGTTTAATTCTAACGGTTCTCCCATGTTAACCGAGGTATGAGGAGAAGCTTCAAAATGATGCTGATTAAATTGCATTCATAGCTCTGTAAATGCAATTTCTCCTTGTAATGCTTATAGAGGAACTTGCAGTGAAAATATTAATATATCAAAATAATAGATACTTTATCTAAAGTAAGAAATAGTTGTGGTATATAGTTATAGAATAGTTTTAGTATAGCAGCACAATAACAAATATAATTTGGATTATTGTTTCACCCACAGTCAATTGGGGAGCCATCCACACAGATGACGTTGAACACTTTTCACTTTGCTGGGCGAGGTGAGATGAACGTTACTTTGGGAATCCCACGTCTACGGGAGATCCTCATGGTAGCCAGTGCCAATATAAAGACGCCCGCCATGGACATCCCAGTGTATCCTGACCCTCAGGCACGACAGACTGCTAAAACCATTCAGACTCTCTTCAACAAGGTCACCCTAGCTGAGGTACGGTTATCATTTTACTCACGTGATTGTGAAAAATCAGACACCAAAGGGTTCCGTCATACAGTAGTCATATCCTCCTTATTGTTGTTGAAATTGTAGATAATCTATGCAAGGGATTTTGAAAACAACCTAAACAATACTTTTGTACCTCAAGTGAAATTTAAGAAGTATAATTCCAGTGGCCTTTTTTCGACTTCTTACTAATGGGGCAGATTTTAATTGTACATAGGATTACGGTCGCCTTCTAGCTTCGAGCTAGGGGGAATTTCCCTTTAGCTCAGTGGTAGAGCGTCCGACTAGGAACCTGGAGATCGAGGGTTCGATCCCCGGTGGAAGCACACTTTTCTCTTCCCTGTTACAAATGGTGTCCGTGGCCCTTCCTGTGATGACAGGGAGTTAGAACCTAGGTTGTGGTGTTCGAGGGCAAACACATTTAAAAAGGAAGGAGTAGTGTGGCAGATTTTAATTGTACATAGGATGACAGTCGCCTTCTAGCTTTGAACTAGAAGGAATTTCCCTTAAGCTCAGTGGTAGAGCATCCGACTAGGAACCTAGGGATTGTGGGTTCGATCCCTGGAAGAAGCAAACAATTCTCTTTCCTGTTACACTGATAATGGAGTAATAAGGCAAAAACTAGAAGTAGAAGTCTTCTCAATACTTGTTTGTGATCACTGTCTGTTGTTTAATTCTTTAAAGTCGTTGTACATGTTATTAGAACAGGCTTGAAGGAATTTTACGTAATTATGATATCCCATTCCTAGGTGCTTGAAGACATCAGTATCACCGAGTACACAATCGTCAAAGGCAGAACCCTGGCGTAAGTTGCAAAATACTGTAAGCTGCTTATAACTGGACTGCCTGTAATGCTATGTCGGTTGCCTTGTAAAGCAGATTCTATAACTGGACTGCCTGTAATGCTATGTCAGTTGCCTTGTTAAGCAGATTCTATAAATGGACTGCCTGTAACACTTTGTCAGTTGCCTTGTTAAGCAGATTCTATAACTGGACTGCCTGTAATACTATGTCAGTTGCCTTGTTAAGCAGATTCTATAAATGATTGACAGCTCTTCTGTGTATTGGATTGAATTAGGCCTCACATCTGTTCAATTACCCCGTCTGTGCCATTATTGAGGAAAATTGAATTTTTCTATAATCTAAAAAAAGGTTGAATTTTTTAAAGATTCTGAAGTATGTCTACAAAATATGCACCAATTTTAAAGTTAAAATACAAAGTCATGAAGTTGTAATACCTTCACCTTATTTCACACAATAGCCAAAGGAAGCGGGTGTTTGAGATCCGTTTCAAGTTCCTGCCTTACCGGCTGTACAGGGAACGCCTAGGAGTTACTCCAGCCTCCATCCTCACCTTCATAGAGAACACCTACATCAAACGAATCATTGCTCTCATCAAAAGAAAAATGAATGATGGTACAAAGAGAAGCAGGTAAGATTTACAGATATATTATTGTAAAGGCCTCAATAGCACGTAAATTTTGTTGCTTTCTTGCTGTAGTTTTACAACTTATGATAAGTTACAACTTATGATAAGTACATATTATATACACATTAAACCTTGGACAAAAGGACAAGAATTCCATGTCTAAAATAAAATATAACTTCACCAGGAATTCATCAGATATTACACAGTATAAGCCACATATCACTTAAATCTTCACCCTAAAGTTAAGATCATTTTCAGATAATCCCTCGCCCTAAAGTTAAGATCATTTTCAGATAATCCCTGCCCTTAAATTAAGATCATTTACAGATAATCCTTGACCTTAAATTAAGATCATTTACAGATAATCCTTGACCTTAAATTAAGATCATTTACAGATAATCCTTGCCCTAAAGTTCAGATTATTTTCAGATAATCTTTGCTTTAAAGTTAAGATATGTTTTTCAGATAATCCTTGTCCTAAAAGGAAGACCCTTTTTAGAACACTTTTTGATTCCCTGTGCTATAAGCCCTGAACTGTAATGTGGAAGTTAATTTGATGACGGTTTTGACCTTTGTATCGATTGTTGATTACACTTTCATATACAATTCCTCAAAGTCATGGTTATACTTAGGTCATTAATATGTTTATCATTATCACCAAACTTGTTAATAGCTACTATAAATCTGTTAATGTCAATGTCACCATTGAAAGGCCAAGCTTCCTTATAACTAATTGATCTACTAAAAACTTGACTCAAAGTTCTATTGAAGAGTCAGCTCACTTATCCACCAAAACTTTAACTCAAAAGGTTGATTAACAAAGTTATTTACTGGTCATCCTTGAAACTCCAGGTCTTACACTCACTTCGCTTTCTGCACCCATGGAATATGACATAGCAAAATCGAAGGCTCAGTGTGTACCACCATGTGGATGAGACAAGAAAACTAGTTTGATCCTTTGATGTACATCAAAAGAATCTCGCGCTCCCGCAACAGTAAAATTTACTGGCTTTGAAGTCGGGTGTCACTCCCCTGTTATCATCAAAAGAACAAATATCAGCCTTGGCAATTGGTCAGGTGTTTTTACCCGAGACCAATTAAATAGCTAGCTGCGTGCCTTCAATTTTGCTAGGACATATTCCAGAAGTACAGAGAGCGAAAGTGAGCATAACCCCTGGAGTATTGAGGATGTTCACTGATCTACTGAAACGTTAACTTAATGATCTACAGAAAAAAAACTCTTGCCTGGTGATTACCTGAAATGAAAACTCCCTTATGTGTTGAAAACAGTAGCTCACTGATGTAGAGAAACGTTATTTCACTGATTTACCAAAAAGTGCCTCAAACAGGAAGTCAGAATCTTTGTGGAAAGGCCACCGTAAATTTTAACTGCTTATGATTTACAATTGGTGTGATTTTGGGTAAGAAAACATTTAAGTGTTGAATTCTATTGTGTACAAAACCAGTTGGGTACCTTTTTGAGGAATAGAATTGTTTTCATTAAAAATAAACAACTAGTCTTTGTGTGTTATTTGATTTCAAGGGTGTTGACATCTGGGAGGTTACTGAAAAAAACAGTTACGGAGGAGGACACGTCTAAAGTGGATGATACCGGTGATCAGCAGGCGGACTCCGATCTAGAGGATATGGCTGGAGACAGTAACGCAGTGGCCGACAAGGAAAAGAAGAGACACGAGGAAGAGAAAGAATATGATGAAGATGTAATCGAAGAAGATGCAAAAGATGAAGAACTGGAGGAACAGGGTATGTTGGGGAACTAAAACAAGCTTTTGGGGAAGCATCATTATGTAATGGAGCTACTAGGTATATATTTAAAGGGACTCAAAATGTTGGAATTTGACAGAATAATTCAATCTGACAAAATGAGGTAGGAGTACAGAAATCAAGGTTAAGGTGTATAAAATTAGTAGAAGTCTTAATTCAAGGGTTTACTTGTATCTGAATATAATGGAATTTTATTATTTCTCTTGGGATCATTAGATTTGATCTGACAACTGGTGAAATATCATACAATACATATTACATGAGTAGCCACAGTTCCAGAACCTACCTGGTTGTTCTTAAATATACCTTTCTTCGGTTTTAAGTTACTATGGACGAGGAGAGCGATGAAGAGACAAACTTCAATATTGAGGATGACATGGGCTCTGAGGAAGCTGCTGAAGGTCACCAAAACAAACCCAAGATGACGGCAGCCATGAGAATAAATGTAGGCAGATTTTTGGGGGAATATGGATTTTATGGGTGAAAGGTGATTGTTTAATCCTCAGGTTAAGCAACATTTTTTAACAAGGCCAGGTCTTCTGGTTCATCTTATGGCTCTTCTTCTAATAACATCCAGTCTAAATTGCCGATAACAATCCTTACGTCTTGTCCATTCTGACCCTTATAAAAGGAGTTATGGCCCCTTGTTGAAAAACCCTTTGTCTGCATCCTAAACTACTGGGCCTATTTCAATGAAAGTTTACAGATATGGTAAATGCCCCCTGATGTCGTACCTCAGGGTAGTATTATCATTTTGACCCTATTAAAGGAGTTATGGCCCTTTCTTAAAAATCTTTGTCCTGACAATTCATCCTTAACTACTAGGACAATTTCAGCAAAGCTAGTTCATCTAGGCTAACAAGATTTAGTTTGCATGTATATGTTGGCATTGGGAAGGAGTACAGGAAGTATGTCAGTGACCTATATACTTAAATAAGTGTACAGTTCAGTCAATTAAGAAACCATTACTGGTGGGAGCCTATGGATTGCATTGCAATGCTTTTCCTGAGTTAGCCTTTACCCTATATTTCTGGTTGATGTAGGAGCGGGGGGTATTAGTTAGCCTTTGGCTTACAGTTCTAGTTGTTACTGATCTACATCACAGAGATAGTCACCTCTATGTCACTGTATTAACGTCACCTTGACCTGGACGGTACCTCTAGTTCAAAGGTCAATACAGAAGAAACTTCCTGGTAAAATCACCATAAATTTAAACCGTTAAAAAGATATTTTCATGAAACTTGGAGCATACCTATAACACCATTGTCTGGCGTGCGTCTGTAAACAATTTACATTTTCGACTTCTTCTCCAAAACACCTGAACCAATTTCAATGAAATTTTGCAGAAACCTTCCATGGCCAAAGGTCAACAAAAATTAGTGACGGGTTTGGTCCCCAGCCCCCAGGGGCCTGAGGGTGGGGCCAAAAAGGATCAAATTGACTAAAATTTCAAAAATCTTCTTCTCAAGACCCAGATATAGTAGAATCAAATACTCTTCATAGATGGAAGGGTCTTAAGGTGCTTTACCAAAATTGTGAATTTCTTGACCCTGGGGTCTCACGTTTCCCCCTGGGGAGGGGGCAAACTTTACTATAGGGAAATCACATTTTGAAAATCACATTTTGAAATCACATTTTGAAAATGTCAAAGCATCAGTGATTGTTATTTTGTTATTTTTGCACTTAACCCTGCTTTTTCATGAGTCAGTTTAGTGTGAAAATAACAAAATTGTTATCATTATTCAAAATAACAAAATAAAACCTAGTCTCCTCACATAGTTAAAAAAAAAAAAGGAAAAGTTAAAGATTTAGCTTTTCTGTGTCAGTTTTTCTTCTGTTTGAAAAATCTAATGAAATGTTTTTTATTGTAGACTGTCTTAAAATCAATGAATGTTGCTGAATATAAATTTGACCAAAAAAGACAAGAATGGTGTCAGGTGAAACTCCAGGTAAGATAAAAACTACAGACTGAACAAAGTGAAATATCAGGTAAAACACTGTAAACATGTAATTAACCCAGTTAAATTCCAGGTAAATACTGTTACCATGGTAACATAATCCAGTTAAATTCCAGGTAAATACTGTTATCATGGTAACATAATCCAGTTAAATTTCAGTTCAAACATTGTATTTGTAATCAAGTTGAACTCCAGATAAAATACTTTAAAATTAATGTAAGATTCTGATTGCAGGAAATTTCCAGTTGTCAAGAAAATTGGCAACAAGAAATAAAATATCTGTATGTTTCTTGACCTCATCTTAAAACCTTTGACATATTTGATCTTCAAAATCACACATGAGTCAATTACATTGCAGAGGGTGCCTTTTGGTATTTTCACCTTCCTGGTTTCAAAAAGGTGTTCTTTTATATGCTATCATGGGATTATTGACAACTACATCATCTTGTTCTCATTAATTTCATAATTTTCCAAATTCAGCATAATTTTTTGGCATTCAGTTTGTTAATCAAATTAGAGCTCCCTGAAGAACATTTTTCTGTTAATTTCTGTCACCAAATCCTATCCCCTATATATGTGCAGTAGCCAAATTAAGTTCAATGTAATTTACTTCATTTTCACATTTCTGAATAACTGTCAACACATTAAAGGTCAATGTATATGTAAATCATCAGTTATAAAACATTTCATAACAAAATTATACTTAAATGTTGATAATCAGTGTAAGATCGCTGTGTATAAACAGACAAGAAAATATTGTATGTTAAGTGTGTAAGAGAAAACACAGAAACAAATCATTGACACCTGTCAAGTACATTTTCAGTCTGTTGAAACCAGAACGTATTTTTTAAATTAAAAAAAAAATATGTTTTCTGTCTTTTACAATTTTATATCCCAATTGATTTTTATCAAAAGTACCATGAAAGTGCTAATCTAGTATTGAATTATGAAATCACCAACTGATTTATTCCGATGTGGTCACTACTTACGATGATAGCTGAATGAGGCAAGTTGTGCTGACACCAGGTTTATGGTTTTGCTTCAGTTTGGTATACAGCATAGTAAGGTGGATGTTTTGTCGATGTTGGAGACTGATGCCAAGACGGCCATAGTCCACCAGATCACGGGAATCAACAAGTGTTTCCTCACTGAACAGATGGGAAAAGAAAAGCGTGAGCTCCACCTTAAAACGGAGGGCATAAATATACAGGTACGCCCCACGCTGTGCCTGTTGTACTTAAATACATTTAGGAGAATGTATACTAGGTGTGATTGGTGATGTTTTGTTTTTGTGTTCAGAGCAAAAACAAAAAGCAAAACTCACAAACAGTAAATTGACATCATCACAACCAGTCAAAGTTTCATCATTCTTAATTTTCTTTCCTTCTTTCCTGAAGATCATTTGCATAATATTATCACTAAATCAAAGTTTTAATTGAAGTGTTTGTCACACAGGATAAAAACTTGGAGCTATGTCCCTTTGCTATTGAGCATACAGTTCCTTATTACATGAATTATAACATGTTATTGACCAATTTTGTTGATCTCCTTTTGATTTCTACATACACTGTATAACCTTTGCCACATGCAGAACATAAAATGTTAACTAATTAGGGGGCCAAGTTGAAGGTGTCTGACATTCTGCTACCACTAGCCCTCCACCACTAGGTTGCGGGTTTGAGGCCTACGTGGGGCAGTCCCCCAGGTACTGGCCGTAGGTCGGTGTTTTTTCTTTGGTAACTCTGGCTTTCCTCCACCCCCGAAACCTGGCACATCCTTAAATGACCATAGCTGTTTATAAGAAGTAATACACAAACAAAAGAAATCCAAACACCTGATGTCATCTTTTCTGTTTTGTAAAGAAATATGAATTATAATCAACCCAGTGTTATGTAACACATTTTAGTTTGAAATACTGACTTTGTAGGAACTCTACAAGTATGCTGACATACTGGACATGTCCCAGCTCTACACCAACGACATCCACGCCATGGCTGGGACATATGGGATAGAGGCTGCCTCCAGGGTCATTGTCAAGGTCAGTAAAGGTCATTTTAACATTCATTGTTATGGGATAGAGGCTGCCTCCAGGGTCATTGTCAAGGTCAGTATAGGTCATGTTAACTTTCATTGTTTTTGGATAGAGGCTGCCTCCAGGGTCATTGTCAAGGTCAGTATAGGTCATGTTAACATTCATTGTTACTGGATAGAGGCTGTCTCCAGGGTCATTGTCAAGGTCAGTAAAGGTCATGTTAACATTCATTGTTACTGGATAGAGGCTGCCTCCAGGGTCATTGTCAAGGTCAGTGTAGGTCATGTTAACATTCATTGTTACTGGATAGAGGCTGTCTCCAGGGTCATTGTCAAGGTCAGTATAGGTCATGTTAACTTTCAATGTTATGGGATAGAGGCTGCCTCCAGGGTCATTGTCAAGGTCAGTATAGGTCATGTTAACATTCATTGTTACGGGATAGAGGCTGCCTCCAGGGTCATAGTCAAGGTCAGTATAGGTCATGTTAACATTCAATGTTACGAGATAAAGGCTGCCTCCATGGTCAGGGACAGTAAAATTGCTTTTAGCTCTCATTCTCCAATTATATTTTGCATTTACCTCTAATTCCATCAAAGCCTTTGGCATATGTATGTTTCAAAAAACGTTTCATTTTTTAGGATCAAGGAGATTAAAATATTTCGAAAAAAAATACTGTAGAATTGAACTGTTTACAGGTGATGTTCATGTGATTGTGAATATATACACATTTGATTTGCCTACAACAGGAAATACAGAATGTGTTTGGCGCCTATGGAATAGAGGTGGACTATCGCCACCTGTGTCTACTGGCAGACTACATGACCTTTGAGGGATCCTACAAACCATTTAACAGGAAAGCCATGGAGACCAGCACATCACCCTTACAGAAGATGTCCTTTGAGACCACCATGCATTTTCTTGTGAAGGCCAGCATCCATGGCACCAAAGACAATCTACGAAACCCATCGTCTCAGTTGGTAGCTGGGAGACTCGTGTCCTGTGGCACTGGAATAGTTGATGTCTTGCAACCCTTTAGCTGATAATGCTGCCATCGGCATTTCAAACTATAGAAACTGTGAAGTTGGAGAGATTTGTGTCGAATACAACTGTTAAGTTTGAGTGTTGCATGTGCCATCATGATCAACAAACTGTTAAGTTTGAATTTTATATCTTTCACAATGACAATGTGTATGAAAGGTGTTCCAATGAGGGAGGGATAAATACACTTCAGTATCACTATTGTTAACCTGTAAGGTCTAAAAGGGATTTTATTTTATTTTGAGAATTAACCATGTTGAAGCATATATTTTTTTGTAGATTTACTTAATTAAAGAATTTCACAAACAATGAACTAAACCATATTTCTATTATGTACAGTCCCTACTGTTCCCCAACTGAAATTTTAACATTGGTTTTAGATCACCTGGTTAAAAGGTTTTATCCTGGATTTAAATTATAATTTGTCAGCACTTGATGCTATGTATCCATCTTCGAACTTAGTGGTGGGGGACATCATAGCTATAAAATCTTAATTAAAACTCATGTTGTTTCCATTTGAAGGATATTGGTGAGGCTATGCCTATATGACATGTGCATGATATTTAATATCATTTTTCCTAAAATTAAAAAAAAAAGCATTGAAATATAATTAAATATGTATAAATATAACAAAATATTGTTGTAGTTTTTTCCTTTTTTTTTATGGTTTTCTAAAACTGTCTGAGAATTATGCAGGTCAGCATTTCAGTCTTATCTTGAGAGTGATATTAATAGTGTCTGGAGATTGGAAGTATGTGGTACCCAGGAAGTTAGAGGGGAAGACTTTCCTTGCACAGAGAATACAACTGTGCAACTACTCTGACTGCAGCAAGGAATCACAGGCTGGCCAACCACAGTCAATTTTATTTTCACAATATCAAGATGTTGATACTGTTAGTAGACCTGCCTGGTGATCTTTTTATAGACAGTGATCTATAGGTAATCATTGTTGTTTAGAAGTAATGGTAAGCAACAATATCAATGACTAAATCGTGTAAATACATAACGTACAATTTCAGTGGAGATTTATATTAAATACCTCATACATGTATACTGTATACAGGTAAATGTACGTTCAGTCAAATTTTCTCCTTTCGCCAGAATAATCCATATTCGCCGAGTGTTAATTTCGCTCTTCACATTTAATTACTATGTAAAGTATGTTGTTTACGAATGTTCACTTTTATAATAAATATGCCCTCAATATCACAAGCAAAAAAAGCCAAAATTAAACTGCTGAGCGAAAATTGCAGTATTATGCTACATCCTTGTCTGAATCATGAAGGTCAACTGGAATAACCTTGAAGCTTGCAAGGGTATAATAACCCTACATACATAGATATTAACAAATGATAAGCTTAGGGTACAAACAAACCAAACCCTACTAAGTGATACGGGTATAGATATAAAAAACAAACTGGAAACTACTAAAAAACACAGGCATATAAGACTACTAAATAACAAAGGTAAAAAGATGAAACTAGAAAATAGAGTTTAAAGATCAAATCCCCTCACATTCACGCATTGTGACATGTAAGAGGAAATGAAGTCGCTAAATAATAACAATAACCCTGACCTTCAATGTAGAAACCTGAAACGAGAAATTGTTCACGGCATTGTCATACCAAACACTTGTATATATGAAGTTTCATGAAATTCTGTTGAGGAATGAAGTCGATAGAGGATGAAAAAGTTTTTTTTAAATAGTAAAAGTGACCTTGATCTTTAACGCAGTAACATGAAACGAGAACTTGGTCAAGGTATTGTCATACTTAACAATGGTGTCAGGTTTCATGAAATTCAGTTGAGGAATTAAGTCAGTAGAGCGATGACAGTTTTTCTAAAAATAGTAACAGTGACCTTGAACATAGAAACCCAAAACGCGAACGTGTTCAAGGCATTGCCATACAAACACTTGTATGAAGTTTCATGAAATTCCATTCAGTAATGAAGTGGCCAGAGTGATGACAAAGTTAAATCTAAAAACAGTAACAGTTACCTTGACCTCCAACACACTAACTTGAAACATGTACTTGTTCAAGGTATTGTCATACTCAAAACTGTTATCAAGTTTCATGAAATTCCGTTCAGTAATGAAGTCGTTAGAGTGATGACAATGACTTTTTCTAAAAGTAGTAACAGTGACCTTGACCTTCAACACACTTAACTTGAAACACCTACTTGTTGAAGGTATTGTCATACTCAACACTGGTATCAAGTTTCATGAAATTCTGTTGAGGAATAAAGTTGATAAAGCGATATGACTAAGTTTTTCTAAAAGTATTCATAATGACCTTGACCTTCAACGTAGAAAACCAAAACGCGAACTTGTTCAAGGCATTGCCATACCAAACACTTGAATGAAGTTTAATTAAAATTCTATTGAGGAATAAATTCACTAGACTGATGACAAAGTTTTTCTCAAATTAATAACGGTGACCTTGACCTTCAACGTAGAAACCTGAAATGCAAACTTGTTTAAGGTATTGTCATACCAAACACTTGTATGAAGTTTCATAAAATTCCGTTGAGGAATGAAGTCGCTATTGGGATAACAAAGAGTGTAACATACGTACGGGTGGAATCCTATATCTCCTCGAACTTTCATTGTGAGGCGATAATAAAACCAAACCAAACCAATCACTCAAGGCGGTTGGAGACACAACATCCCTTATTAGTTAAAATCTGGTGCAATTTGGAAGATTACTGCAGTGGACACATGTAGTATTTGGAGTTCCCGCTAAAAGGTCATCAATTAATTTCAACGGAGCGGGGACAACACAGCAGAATTTAGATTATAGATTATTTATTCAGATATGGTGTTGACATGTTTCTGCTCAAAAGTCAGTTGTCATCAGAACAGACAGGGAGGGCAGACAAATCACCATTTACAGCCAGTCATTGGACAGTACTGTCCAATAAATGGCCAATTAGGCCAGATTCCACAGTAGAAGTCTTCCTTTTTGCTCAAATAATAACAATAACAATGATCAACATTGAACAATATCAGCACATACACTTTGGCATTGGAGCAATTGCATTTCACTGTACTTTTTGGATATATGATACATATTGTTAACCCATGGCGCAGCGTCCGTCAACTTTTCCCTTTAAAACGCCTCTAGTCCTGAATGGATCAGAGGATTTTGACCAAATTTGGTCTGGAGCATCATTGGCCAAGGGTTCTCAGTTTTGTATAAACGGAGGGTATGGTCCCCCTGGGGGCAGAGGGGCGGGGCCAAATAGGTGACTTAAGTTTGTATAAACAGAGGGTGTGGCCCCTCTGGCCCCGGAGGGGCAGGACCCAGTAGGGGAAATAGAGGATTTTTTTCTCCTACTATACAAGTGAAGGGATTTAAACCAAATGCAGTCTTAAGCATGATTAGGGACAAAAGAATCAATTTTGTATAAACTGAGGTGTGTGGGCCCCCTTCTAGGGGCAGATGGGTGGGGCCCATTGGGGGAAATAGAGGAAAACATTAAAGATCCTTCTCCTTCTGTAACGTTGAAGGGATTTTAACCAAACTTGTTCTGGAGAATCTTTTGGCAAAGGGAATTGAATATTTATAAATGGAAGATGCCCCCCTTTGATAAACCTGTATGGTACTCAGCAGGTTTTAAATTGAAAAATAAAATACCAGAAGTACAGTACATTTCATTTAATATCACATCGCTTAATGTCGCTTTTCGGTTATTATCATGTTTTCTTGATGCCCCGTTTTTCCTGCTATATAATCTATGTAATTCAATTCTCTTATTATCACTTGTTTTGATATCATTTTCGCTTTATATCACTTTATCACTAAATTTGTACAAGTCAAGTGCACATGGTTGTAATACTCTGATGCAAAAAATATTCTTTTTCAAAGTAGATTTATGCATTTGACAGTACTGCATTAACAATTAAAAATAATAAAAAAGATATTATGATAGTCAAATTACTTTTTATATCAACAACAATAATGTAAGCATTTCATTCAGCTTTTAACAGCAGCTTTCAACTGATCACCAAGAGCAGAATTATCTGACGTCTTCACACGATTCGTTTTTCTTCGTTTCCTTTTATTTACAGCATTTTCTAAAAATGTTTTTTTAGCTTTTTTAGCTTTTGTCTTTTCTCCTTTCTTTGATTTCTGACATGACAAAGGGTTTGGCCCCTTGGGTCCTTTTCTTTTGAATTTTTTCTTCACAGGTTCCTCGCCAAATGCTTGTACTTTAAGTTTTTTCAAAACCTCCATTTGATGCTCTGAAGGAGCCATACGAGCCTGTAATTCCTTGTCTGCCGTTCCTTTGGAGAGTTCTGTGGGAGATTCCATGTTGATAGCATTATAGGCCACGAACAATAGGGGCACACCAGGATGTTTCTCTCTCAACTCTTCTCTCAATTCGTGATCCTAAAATAGATTAAACAACAGTTTATTCCGATTGATAGCATTACCAATTTTTCTGAGTAGTCATGGTTACGTTTCTGGTAACTATTGATCTACATTTGACAATGCTTAACCTGCCTTGTGCTTTTAAATTTACCACCTTTTTTTAAATAATTCAAACATGAGAATGTTTTGATAAATTTTTATTACACTGCTTTGTAATTTATATAATATTGTGGTTATAAACAAAATCATAACAAATGCTATGTATGAAATTACATGTAATGATATGCAATTTGTGTCCCCTACCATGACACTGTCTAGCTAGTCAGGACACATCTTTCATAAACATTTGTTTTTAAACCTATCAATTTCATGAAGCTGCCCAAGAGAGAGACAGAAAAAAACAGACTTAGCAGGTATGTGGCCATTATAGAGAGGTTCCACATTTTATAGAAGTCATTGTAGGTGGGTTTGATACACAAGTGATACTTGTACTCAGACTTTATAGGAAGGTTAAATATATTATAGAAAATGACATTTCAGGTATTTTTAGGATTTGGGAGTTATATTTACAGTCTGGTGTTTTACAGGTGTTCTTACAGACAGGTGTTCTTTACAGACAAAATGACATATTAAATACTATTTGAAGGGGTACACTAACAGTTTCAGCAGTATTTTTTTAGCATTTCCTGTGTAATCTTATCATTTCCGGGTGCCTTATTAGACTTCAAAGTTTAAAGAATATCTTTTACTTCTCTTTGTGAAAAAATATTGTTTTAATATTATTCTGACATCTAGATGGAAATTCTGGAGTACCATGTGGTTCATTAGTGATGTTGGGTATAGAACCAATGTATTCAGTACATCTGCCTTCTTTTTATCATCAAACACAAGTTCAGCATGTTCGTTATCATAGGTGTTCTTTACAGACAGGTGTTCTTTACAGACAGGTGGTCTTTATAGACAGGTTTGTAATTTTAATTGAAAACATCATTTAACATAATTTTTCAGATGTTAGTATAGACAGGTGATCTGTATAGTCAGGAGGCCTTTATAGACAGGTTTGTAAAACAGTCAAAACACATGTGATATATGTATAGACAGGTGGCCGTTATAGGTTGGCAGATCTGATAGACATGATTGTTTTAGAGACAGGCTGGATTTGTAAACAGTCAATGTTCTTTATAGATGGGAAAATGCCAACCCTAGGCTTTATAGACAGGTACTAGCTATATAGTCTTCAAGGCAAGTTTCACCAACATCAATGATTTTTTTTCTCAAACCTGTTTAAAATGATATCTGTCGGCCACATAGTTGTATGCCACGTAATTTAATGCCGATATACATACCTGAGTAGCAATCATGAGTTGTTTGTCCCGACTATTCTTCACTACCGACGTCATACATCTCGCTGCCTTAACTGGCTTCTTATGCTTACAATGCTGGACATCAAACTGTCGTAGAATCTTTAGGGGACCATACAGAAGGGTACCTGTACAAACACAATCCTAGATATTAAACTCATTTCTTAAAATCTGTAGTCATACCTTGTGCTATTTTTATTCAGCAGCTGAACAACTGAATATTTGAGGTAAAAATATATCGCTACATTGTACTGTGTTTGAGGAACTCCTTTGCAAGAATAACGATATTATAACAAAACATGTTTACAGTGATTACATTACAATAGACCATGAGTTTCTCGACAGTTTATCTAACTAAATCTAATATTTTAGTTGTTTTATATAAACTGACAAAAACAGAACTTTCAACACTTTACTTCAATATCATATACTTGCCACAAATTCATTTTTGCTGATACATTTATTATTTTGTCTTATAACAAGATATAACAGAGGTAAGTGATAACAAACAGAGTGTGATGTCCTATACACTTTGTTATACATGTATAACAGTTTTACTGTATGTGTCACTAATGTCAGGAAAATATCTGTCTCCACCAGTAGATAAAATTACAATAAGCAACACCCATTACAAGATGGTTCTGACATGGTGTCACAGACACATCAGGATGATAAAGATCAAGAAGCCCAGAGGGCCTGTATCACTCACCTGGTTCTTTTGTTACATGAAACTGACATATAGGTAACTTTAGACCAAATTTGGTAACTAGAACACAAGACGTTTTAACATCTCTTAAACGGTTCTGAAGTATCATGACTCTAGTCTAAATGGTTCTTAAGATATTGTTGTTTGAAATTTGAAATCTTAATTTCAAATATAAAGCTTTTTTATAAGTTGACTTTTGACTCAGTCTAGCACTTAAAGTTGACCTTTGACCTCATTACTGTAATTAAGAAAATGATTCGCACTGCTGGTCTACATAACATACCCAAGTATCATGACTCTAGTCTAAATGGTTCTTAGGATGTTGTTGTCTGAAGTTTTTAACATATTTGACCCTGTGACCCCTGTTACATTATAGCACTCCATTCCAGGTACCTACTGGCCAAATATCATGACCCTGGGCTTTATGGAACTTGAGGAGAAGATTGTTAAAGCTTTTGACTCATGTTGACCCCTGACTAGCTCTTAAAGTTGACATTTGACCCCATTACTGTAACAAAGAAAAATATTTGTACTGCTAGTCTACATAACATACCCAAGTGTCATGACTCCAGTCCAAATGGTTTCTAGGATATTAATGTTTGAAGTTTTAACCATATTTGACACATGTGACCTTGAAAGTAGGTCAAGGTCATTTTAATTAGGATACTTTATAGCACTCCATCCCTGGTACCTACTGGCCAAATACCATGACTCTGCGTCCTCCAGTTCTTCAGAAGAAGTCGTTCAAAAGAAAAAGTTGACAAACGGATGGACGACGGACTCTGCAGTACGGCATAAACTCACATAGCCCTTAATTAGGGCCAGGTGGGCTAAAAACTTAACACAAATTGCAAGGGGGTGCTTCCATCATGTCACAGCCACTCCGGACTGAAGACATTAGGTGACCTGTACATTACAAGACGATGTTGATGATGTTGACATGATGTCATAGCCATCCTGCCATAATTATGATAAAACAAACTACATATTGTAAGAAGATATTTTGATGACATTATGCTATAACATAAAATCAATGAGAAGCTTACCAAACGCTGCACACTCTTCCTTAACACACTCAGTTGTTACTATGTTGACCTCTCCCTCCAAGTAACGGGGCATCTGGTCATTTATGTTGACCTTGAATGCCAGGGCTGATTTACAGAATGTCCCATCAACTAAGACATTGTAAGGAGTTTTCAGTCCAAAATTGTTCTTGTAGAAACTGATCAGCTTCCGCACTCTCTTTTGACGCTTTCTCATTATGATCCAATATCATATGTCTGTAATATAAAATATACAAATACCTACATGTTTTTTTTATAATGTTAGGAGTCTTTATTACTATGTATTGTTGGCAATATTTCAAGTTTTACATTTCTTTTTAGCGTGGGAGTAAAGCTTAAGGCAAAATCTAAAAAAAAAAGGTCTATTATAATGTACATTATAGATTTAATTTGGCCCCTCTGATAAAATAGTAGTGTTCAATGTCACACTTTAAGCTGATCAATACAATGAGATACGTACTATAGCTAGTAACTTTAGCCTAATTACCAGTCCAGTTTTTATTGTAGAAAATGTTTTATTATAATTAACAACTTCAAACCTACGGTTAAAAGCACTTGTGAAAGTGTCATACGTGTATATAATTACTTTTCCTATGGGCAATATATATCTTGATTTAAAAGCATACACGTGCTATTACATTCACAGCGTGCACTGTTTGAGATGCTAGAAATATGGAAACTGCTAGGCCTACTGTAGCGCTAGCCAAGAGCTAACTTTCCTTTCACCTGATCATAGAAGATCGAAGTTTTGTCATTATCGTTGGGTTTAAGGCTATATTCTAACCGTAGGTACTCACCACAAAATGGAGTTTCAATATATATGTATAGGGTATCTATGATTACATGAAAGGTGAACAGCAGCAATACGAGTGTATAGAGACACAAAACATGAAACACATGGCTTAAATGACGAGTCTAAGTCGGATATGCGCTTGAAATATAGGTTCCAAGACGCGTCGGATCAAAACGTTTTGAAGACCAAACCTACCTTTCATCCAGAAAAATGGCGACGGCAAGACCCACGTTAAGTTCGGCAGTACAATATGTCCAGATTGACGGACTTGTAAGTAACCTTTATAACACAGATCTGTATCATGTGGCTCATTTAAGTCAAACGTTAAATGTTTAATTTGCTATGTCTTCATTTAATCACTAAAAGAATTATTTTCATTGACATGTTTTGAAGAGGGATGACCGGCTTTTCATGTTACTGTGTTTAGACCCGAATCACGTTCTACTAATCATGAGCAGACAACGAACTTGTTATTACCCACATGAAGTTATCAGTAAACTAAATATAAGTGTCGACGAAAGTTATGCATGTATAATGGATAGAAATGCAGACAACTTAATCCTATTTTACCGATTTATAGAACGGGGGGTCCGAAATAACTAACTTATATTCTTTGATCTTTCACCTTTTATTTTGTGTATAGAACGGAGACAGGCTAGAGAGCTTTTCTCGTTATTTTATTCATTTAAAAGCAGGACATCATAATCTTCAGATCTAAGCTAAGAATTATCGTGATAGAAAACAAACTGTTTACTAAAGTAGATTAGACTGACCAGCAAAATGAGAGAGAAAAAAACACTCGCACTTCCTGGTGTTAAACAGGAAGAGAAAGATACACAGCCAGAATGGGATTAGAACCTGGGACCCTCCAGACTCTTGAAAGACTCTTGATCTCTAACCAGTTGAGCTTATACCTTGTCCTGGCAATCGACTCGGTCCAATTCTACAACATTACTCCCCCTCCCTCCTTTTACAAAGTCTTTGACTCTGAGGACACAGTAAACCACATTCCACCTTCTGTGACTGTGGGTATATTTTGTTGAGCGCTAAAGGTAACAGGAGAGGAAAAATGAACGGACAGACCTTGAGTTAAACCCAGAAATTTATAATCTCTAGACAGATGCTCGAACCATTTCAGCTAGCTAGCTAGCTACGTATACCTGGTCACTGTCAATTGACCCAGTCCAGTTCTGCTACCTTAGCATATTTTAATTTAATTTATCAAGGAACAGGCTATTGTAAAATTTAAGTAACAAAAAGACTGCACTTTGTCTGTGAGCTTTGATGTATATATAATGCACTATACTTTAACGTATGTATTGACTGGGTTACCTGTAGGTGGTGCTGAAGGTGATCAAACACTGCCAAGAGGAGGGTGCAGGGGGCACTGACTTGGTACAGGGAGTGTTACTGGGACTGGTAGTGGAGAACCGACTAGAGATCACCAACTGCTTCCCTTTCCCCAGACATAATGAGGATGAAGACTTTGATGAAGGTTTGTTTAAACTAAATGAGTTCAGTCAACAACACTAAGCTGTACATGTAACAGTAATGTGTCAGTGTTTTCTAAATGTAGAGACTGCTACTGATAAACATGGCATACAGATTAAAAAACATTAAACTTAAATACATACTACGGTAATGTGCAGCTGTAAAGAATTGTGTTCAGGCACACGATACCTTTTGTCTATAGCTACTGTAGTCACTCCGTTCCTCTTCAATACCATAGTATAGGATCTGATAACACCTATCAGGGAACATGTTTGTGTGGCAGATCTTTTACGTATCGCCAGTCAATATGGTGGTGTCGCATTCTCGGTGTTGGAAAACATGTGTACACATACACAATCACAGATATAAAGCATCCAGATTTTGAATGAAAGACAGGTCCCCAGAACATGACCCCTGATGCAATGTTGTTGGCTAGATCCTACACATTTTCCAGATACACAGTTGTAGAAGGAAGTGACCCTTGATTTGAGGGTTTTCCAACACAACTAATTCTGATAGTGTGTTTTAGTCCTAATTAATTGGGCCTATTAAACCAATTTTCCAATTACACTGGATCAAGTAATCACTTTAAAACCATGATAGATATTGATACATAATAGTATCGATATCAAGTATATCATCTTAACTAGCTTTAGTGTAGTAAATATCAATATTGTAAAAGGTGGGCAGCTCAACTTTTAACTTTGCAGGGGTCTATTGAGGAGGCCAGGGATATCATAGATTTATAATATTGCTTCAAATACAATATGAATTGCTATAAAATTTACAAAATTGCATTTTACAAAATTACAAAGTTTATTTCATTCCTGTCTAATTGGATTTGTTGATGTACTATTGGAAGTGACTATCAGTAATTTGCACTCCATCTGTCAGTCTGTCAGTCAGTTCTACCGGGACCTATCTCATAGACTATAGACACTTACAATTACCGATTCTAAAATGTGGGTAGTATATATACAAAAGACATTTGTCACATGCTATAATCTGGTCTTGTGTCATGCTTTATATATATCTAGAGTTACAGCACCTGTTGACTGTTTGTCACAAGTCTTGGACCAGGGCTAGAAATTAATTTTGAATACCAGTAGTCAATTGAGGAAGTAGTTTCCAATTTTTACTGGTCAATGGCAAATTCACTTACTCCCAATATATTATTCAACAACATAAGTAATAACAAATTTTGACCAATGAATCGGGCTAGTGGATTTGAGTAGTCTCAGACTATGGAGCTGCTGTTATTGTCTAGCACTGGGGAAATATCTTGTATACTCTGTTTTTATACGCCCCTCAAATTTGACGGGAGTATTATGGTATGGTGTTGTCCGTCCGGCATAAAGTTTTGTTTGTCCGGCAATCTCCTACATTTTTCCAACGATCTCTTTGAAACTTGGTATACATTATAATCATGATATGAAGTTGTGTCTCACTTAAAAGAATTTTGATTTGACAATTTTTCCAAAAGTTATTGCCCTTTGTTCATTTCAGTATTTGATTTTTTGTCTGGAGATCTATCTCCTCCTACATTTTTTGACGGATTTCTTTGAAACTTAGTAGGCTAAAAAATCATGATATGAAGTTGTGTCTACCTCAAAAGAATTTTGATTCAACGAATTTTGCAAAAGTTATTGCCCTTTGTTCATTTCAGTATTTGGGGTTTTTTGTCCGGAGATTTTCTCCTACATTTTTTAGAGCATGTCAGCTAACCACTCTGAGAATGATGCAGATCTTATTTCAATGTTAGAAAGTATATAACACTATATGGCACTCGACGGGCGTAAATTGTTCCGCCCCTCGGAACTCTTGTTGTTATATGGGTATACACTTGGAAAAGCAGAGTGTCATGTGATGAAATTGGGTCTAGTGCTCCAGTATATATACATGTTACACAGCACCAATTGCAAAATTTTGATTAGGTATACAAGCGTTGTTCCGATAACCGATTATAATAGAAAATCTATCGATTGTACAACCAACTGAAATTAACCGATTGATATATATTCCATAATCAATTATTCGGTTTAAATGTTGCATACTGTTTTCTGTTGATATATGTCAGATTTATTCTTGGTCAAATTCTAATAGTAGGTTATAACTAAAAGTGTATATAGCTGCAAAACCCAATTCTAAGTGGTATACCATCATAATTACACATATTTCAAATAGATTTACCAGAGTTTAGATGTTCTGATTATAATCGATTATCGTTCATTAAAAGTTTTCCAATAATCAATCATGATTTCCGTTTCCGCATCCCCACACTAGTGATCATGAATACTTCTTGGGATTGAGGATAATGACATACTGGAGTTGGATTTCATGCCATTTTACATACAACAGAGTTATTGCCCTTTGTTCATTCTAAATCCCAAAGTTTCACTGGAGGTGGAAGAATTTGGATAGCTCTCAATACTTTGCCTTGTTTATCACAAATTTTGATTGTTTATCTATATGATGGATTTGCTTACAGTCCAGTACCAGATGGAGATGATGAGGAATCTTCGCCATGTCAACATTGACCATCTCCACGTGGGCTGGTACCAGAGCACTTACTTTGGTTCCTTTATCAACCGACTGTTCCTGGACTCACAGTACAACTACCAAAACTCCATAGAGGAGTCGGTCGTCCTCATCTACGGTATGTCTTGTGGGGGGAGGATGGGGATATGTAGAGGAGTATGTTATCCTCAACTTCAATGTGTTTTTGTGTGTGTAGCTAGGGGAGGAAGGTTAATAAGAGGGTTTGTCATCTTCGTTTTTTCGTGGGAAATATTTAGAGGAGTCTGCCATCCTCATCGGTGGTTTGTCTTGTTAGGGGGATAATAGAGTAGTATGTTATCATCACCTACATTGTGTTTTTGTGTGTAGCTAGGGGAGGAAGGTTTATATAGAGGGTTTGTCATCTTCGTCAACAATATGTATTTAGTGGGAAATATTTAGAGGAGTCGGCAATCTTCATCTGTTGTATGTCTTGGTTGGGGGTGGAGAGATATATGTAGAGGAGTATGTTTTGGTGTGTGTAGGGCAGGAAGGTTGATATAGAGGGTTTTTCATCCTCATCTACAATATACTTTGAGGAGGAAATATTTAGTAGGGAGTAAGTTCTGTCATCCTCTTCGTAGTGTTTCTTATTGGGGTGATGAAACGGTACATCTGAAGTAAGATGTTGTATTAGAACAGGTTTAAACATCAGCACTGAGATTTTGATTGATCAACAACATGAACTCTACAATTAATTATCATACACCTCAGACAATTAATTATCATACACCTCAGAAACTACTAGCATGCATGTTCGTTGAAAGACAATGCTCAGTTCATTACATGTGAATTTCAGTAGTTCTTGTTTCGATATAATAATATATTATATGCTTCAAATATAGACATATACCTTTGGTGACAAGATTTGTTGTGAAGTTTCAATATCTTTTTTAAGTACAATGTATTACTGTTTGAAGGTATATGAAGTCTTCAAAGAGAAGTTCTCATTGATTTTCAGTAGTTTATTAAGCATAGGCGTCTTGCTTCTCTTGTTAATGGAGTAGTCAGTCAGGCACTGGATTACTGTATACATGTACAGGGAAATTTTCGCTGCAGTTTAATTTTTCGCCTTATTTGCCTGCCATAATGAAGGTGAATTTATCGTAACAGCGAACACGAGTAAACAACATTATATGCATATTATGTGTAATTATTGGCAGATTGGTCAAGTGGTTAACACTCCGGCCTTCCAAGCAGGCGGCCGGGGTTCGATCCCCGAAGTCGTCCTAAGTGTTTTTCTCCTGCCCACACAGGTACAACTCCATCAACCCAGGTGGAGTATAAAATTGTCTGGTGTGAATGTTGCAGTATCTGTGCTGTGGCACTATAAATTCAATGATACCGTTGGAAGCACGATCCCACTACAAACAGAACATAATTCATCTCCAGCACACACACAGGCATACACACATAGGGTGATATTAGCCAGGTGTTATAGGACTAGTAGTTAGCGCCTGATAAGGCAGTTCCTGCGAATTCCTCAAAATTGTATTGATTAATGTATATGCTAATTCTATTCATTGTATTAAATTGTATATCTATGTACCGTTAAGCGTTTAAGAGTGGCTTATGGTAGCAGATAGGGCGCTATATCAAATGTTGTATATTTTTTTATTTTTTTTATTTATTAAATGTGAAGGGTGAAATTAAAAACAGGGCAAATAAGAATTATTCTGACGAGGGCAAAGCTTTGACTGGGTGAACATTTCCCGCTGTACAGTATTAGACTGCCGTCTATTGTACAATTTGTAATCTGTATAGTTTCATGAAAATCATGACCTGTTGACGATTTCAGACCCATTAAGGACCACAAAGGGCTACCTGTCACTGAAGGCATACAGACTAACCAAGGACATGATGGACTTCTACAGGAAGGAGGACTTCACTCCAGACAGTCTCCGCGATGCAGGCATCAGCTTCAAAAATATGCTTGAAGAAATCCCAGTCATTATAAGGAATTCCCACCTTTGTAACAGCCTTCTTTGTGAGGTTGATCAGAGCCTCGTTGCGAGTCAGAAATTTAACTTTCTTGACCTTGCCACAAGGTAAATATTGGTTATTTTCACATATTAATGTTTTATATGTAATACGGTATGTAAAATCTGTTCAATCAGTACAAAATGTAATCGGTGATTAGGAAGAGCAAACAAATGTGATTGTAAAATGTTCATTGTTATTTTGAATGTTAAGATAAGGATTGAAAATTTGAAATGCATATTTTTATGGTATTTTCCGAGATGTGTTATGTCAAATCATGGAATACGTTTGAACAGAATTGTGTGACATAGCATAAGTAAAAGTTATATGTCAGCCCTCAAACAAAAACACTTTGAATTAATAGATACTCCNNNNCCCCGCGGTATTGTTGATTTAAGCAGGATTTCATAGTCAATTCCTGTTAACCCTTTCACCCCTAGGTAACTTAAGTAGACTCTACTTTATCTGGATGAGTCCATTGTGGTCCACAGTGGTGAAAGGGTTAAAGCCTGCATGAATCTGAATCAATACCATTGACTTAATTAATTGAATTCTTTCTGGTAATTTTTAGCTCACCTGCCCGAAGGGCAACTGAGCTTATGTCATGGTGCGGCATCTGTCCATCGTCATCCGTCAAATTTTCCTTTAAATGACCTCTTCTGAAGAAAGAACAGGCATAGAGCCATGATATTTGACTGAAAGCTTCGTTGGTAGGAGCCCGACAAATTTTGTGAACGAAAATGACCTTGACTTACTTTCAAGGTCACAGGGGTCAAATGTGTCAAACACTTCAAACAACTTCTTCTGAAGAATTAAACGATATGAAATCTTCATATTTGGCTGATTGCTTCCTCGGACGGAGCCCGACAAAGTTTGAGACGAAAATTACCTTGACCTACTTTCAAGGTCACAGGGGTCAAATACTTCAAACGACTTCTTCTGAGGAATTGAAAGGTATAGAATCTTCAAATTTGGCTGGTGGCTTTCTGGGATGAAGCCCGACAAAATTTGAGAATGAAAACGACTTTGACCTACTTTCAAAGTCACAGCAGTCAAACATGTCAAACGCTTCAAACAATTTCTTCTGAAGAACTTCATGGTATAGAATCTTCATATTTGACTGGTGGCTTCCTAGGATGGAGCCTGACAAAGTTTGAGAATGAAAATGACTTTGACCTACTTCGACCTACTTTCAAGGTCACAGCGGTCAAATATGTCGAAAACATCAAACAACTTCTTCTGAATAATATAAAGGCATAGAATTATAATATTTGCCTGGTGGCTTTCTGGGATAGAGCTCACCAAATTTAAAGTTTGCAGATGAAAATGACCTCAACCTACTTTAAAGGTCACAGAGGTCAACAACATTTCCAAGGATTTGTTCTGAAGAACCAAAAGGAATGGATTCATAAGATTTGGCTGGTAGCTTTTTGGGATAGAGCTAACAAAGTTTGAGAAGGACAAAGACATTGACCTACTTACATGGTCAAAGGGAAAAATATGAACTTCTGAAGAAGAACCAAAAAAACATAGAATCTTATAACAATATTTGGCTGGTAGTTTCAACAGATGGAGCCGACAAAGTTTGCGAGGGAAATATCTGTAGTGCAATATACTATTTAATGAGAATATTTTGCTTTGACTGCTTAAATATTCAGGTGAGCGATACAGGCCCTCTGAGCCGCTTGTTCCAGGATTTCTATAATTGTGACAATCTAAGTTGTAAATCCAAGCTGCATTCCTTTACTACAGTTCCATGCTGGAGAAGAACCTGCGTCAGTTGATGGAATCTGTGGATGACGTGGCCATGGATGCTAACCGCTACCTCAATTTCCAGAGACAGGCTGCGAAACAGAAGTTACAGAAAAGCCAATACATTCAGAAAAGGGTACGTGTATCTATACATTAAGGCCTAATCCTAGTTATAATTCCTCAGATTCTATAGAGTGTAACTTCATGTTTTCTGTAATTCTTTTCCACATATTTGTGCATGCACATTTCTAGGGCCCGGTTTTGAGATCCAGGTACCCTACAGCTTCCGTCCATCCATCTATCCGTCCTTCTTCAGTTTTGTTTTCGAAAATTATCTCAGAATCCTAAAGACTTATCTTTTTGAAATTTGACATGGTGATTCAATGTGATATGTAGATGTGCAATAGGGGTTTAAAAGGTTTCTAAGGTCAAGATTATCACTGTTGCTAAAACTAAAACCATTGGTGGGTCCATCAACTCTCGAGCAACATTTTATCACTAATATTTAAAAATGAAACAAATTATCGCCTTGACTTCTTCTTGGTGATTATGGGGGATATATATGGTCAGGCACACGGAAGACCCTTTTAAACCAAATTTGTCTTGCATCATTCCTTTGATAACGAAACTCAATATTGTTTAGTATTGGGGAAATTTGGGGCATCTTTTACACCCAAGTACAGGTTAACATATTTTAAGCTCTATTTGTATGGAACATCCTTATGTGCTGTGGTTCAGTGTTTTTGAAATGAAGAATGTTTCTCCATTGGGACAGGAGGGTGGAGTCTGGGGAGGAAATAGAGAAAGACATATTATTTTAGCTTTTCCAGTTCCTGTTGGTGAATTTGTGACCGTTGACGCTTCCTCCATGTTTTAATTGAAGCATGTGTTACTTTCTCCAAATACTAACAGATTCTAATTGATGTGTTAACCAAAATTTTATTTTTCTTGGCAGTTCTTAAAAATTTTTGATAGAAGTCTAATAATGAAGCTTTATAATTGTTGTAACTTGTGTGTTTCATTGACTTGTATTCATCACAAAGTTTAATTACTGTGTAACTTGTTTATCAGGCCTCGGAGAATGCACAGCGAACACAGCACGGTGAGGCGCCACTTCCTGAAGAGGACATCAACAGATTGTTTAAACCGCTTCAGCCCATGGAACGCCTCCACAGCCTCCTTCTGGCGGGGCAGATTGACAACTATTGTGCGCAAGTTGGAGACTTTGCATCACAGAGCTTAGGCAAATTGTTCCTGTCAGAGAGCTTGAAAAATAAGCCGGCAGATAATTAGACATTGAATATTGTCACCTACGAATAACTTTCTACTCTGGAGAAAGGATAATCTTAAACACATTGATAAGACTTTTCAACATCTGACCTTATAATGCCGTCGCCATTTTATACGCTCGATATTTCAATACAGAATGTAAAAGCTGCGAGATGGAAAATAAATTATTTCCAAATGAAAGACTCCTGTATTATCTTAATGTATTGGTAAACTGATGTCACCGCATACCGTTGCTAATATTACACTAGTAAAGTAGAGCTACATGTACTGAAACTAAGATGTCGCCGTCATGTCTCGCAAAGAAACGTTATGAATTCAATAGCTCTTCTCAGTGGCCACAATGTTGAGCAAAAATTCAATCTCTTATCTTAATATTTCTGCATAATTTTTTAAAGAACACAAAAGCAATTTCTGTAATCACCTCAAAAATAACAAAATGATAATTTAATGTATGTAGGTATATATATACAGGTTACCTTCTACAAATTTTTAAATGAGATCAATATATATGTATCACAAGTAGCCATAAATACAGCAATATAATACTTCAAGTTGTGTACTTCAGACATGAAATCTATTTAATAATATCTATGGTATTTTATCTTTTAAAAACAGCAGTAATTGTTGTATACATGTACGTACATGTATACAATACACAATATCAGTTTAATAATGATAAACATTTAATGACCTGGTATACAACAGTATTACGACAGTATATCCGTAAATAGCTGTACGAAAATACTAACATATATTCTAGTTCTACAACTACCAGTACTGTACCATGTTATCATACAAGATCAATTTCTTGGTCCATCACTGTGCTTTAAACATGTATTTCCTTTTCATACAGAAAATCACTTATTTATTTAGCACTACCACAGTAAACAACATCTCATAATATATGGGTTTATCCTTGTAATATATTTAACTCTTTCACCCCTGAAGTTTCCTAATGAACTATTCCAACCTTTGAATCGGAAGAGTTCAAATGTGTCTTTAGGAGTGAATGAGTCAATACAAGACGATGTAGAATTGTGAATATGTATAAATATATTAAATACAAAAAGGAATAGAAGTTAGTATCAGTAATCCTATTTGATATTGAAAACTACGAAAGGTTGTGTGTTGGGACCATCTTCAATGATTTTACTCTCTGTACACATTGGAATGTATTGTGACAAAATCCAAGGCTCATAGAGCTGTTTAATTGGTTTCAAAAACAAAACACAGGCTGGTGGCTGTCCTTTGTAGATTACAGGGGAGCTTAACCAAAATCAAAGGCCTTCGATTTGGTCGTACTGGACATATATGGCGAGTCGTTGAACAGTCCAAGTCCTGTTTGATAGAACTATATATCTTCACAAGGTTTTTGTCATGTACTGGACATATATGGCGAGTTGTTGAACAGTCCAAGTACTATTTGATAGAACTATATATCTACACAAGGTTTTTGTCATGTACTGGACATATATGGCGAGTTGTTGAACAGTCCAGGTACTATTTGATAGAACTATATATCTACACAAGGTTTTGGTCATGCACTGGACATATTTGGCGGGTTGTTGAGCAGTCCCTGAAAGGATCGGTCTGTGTCTGTATTGGGTATCTGTGTATAGTGTCTCCTAGTCCGAGCATTGTACACAAACGGTCTACACGAACACTTTCGTCCGTACAAGAAACAGTTAAAAAGTCCCTGAAGTGGATTCAGCAATGCCTGAAACACAATTGTTGCATATAAAAGAATTATTACACAGATTCAAATTTTCTAGTTTATTATTAAAGAATGGTCCTTATAATTAACCCTGTGTAAGTCATGGTAATGATGCTTTTCCCTCAAAACGGCATGCAGTCTTCCATTTTTGATGGTATCACATTGTTGCTATCTCCCCATCCCCTCGCACCCCCTTATTTACAAGGGATTTTGATTAGAGTGTGTCTATCACCCTTGGTTTCTGTACAAAAAATCCCCTAAAACGGTTTTATTTCAACTAAATTTGGTGTGCACATTCATAGTCGCAAGAGCACGATAACAAGTTCAAGTGTGCACATTTAGACAAACATAATAAAAATGTTATTATTGAGCGGCTATCCACTTTTGATTGGTCAATTGGTCTCCGTGCAGTAAGTCCCATTAAAGAGCGTTTAATTTCAACCAATTTTAGTGTGCTAAGTACATGTTGGCAAGTTTCGTGCTTAAATTGATTATCATGTTGATCCGGCTAGTATATATTTACACCTGATTCATGGGGCTACACAGTTCTGAATGGTTAGTGGTGTTTTTGCAATTTCTTCGCAAGTAATGGTTTAATTTCAACCAACTGACTGCCTTTTCGGCCTCACCGGAAATTTAGAATTAATGAAGAATGATAATATGACATTTCAAATTCATTCGACAACTGGTTTATGAGATTTGGCAGACGGACATAAACACACATTTTCATAATAAAATGCGTGAGTATTGTCTGTTGTGCGCTATTTGGTTGAAAATTGGTCATTTTGAAGGAAATTAATTATACACTTCAGTTTTTGAAAGCCTCTGCATGCAAATAAATCATAAACAATTAATTATTTAACATGCTTAAACATTGTCATACCAGTGTACATTCGTAGAATTAATTTTGTTCGGCACATGCAGAGACTTTTAATTCTTCATGGTAACTGTGCAGAAACACAATTTCGTTGCTATGGTAGGCATGTACGCATGTGCATTTTAAAAAAAATGTACCAAGAAATATAGCCCAAATTAAGGTGGCTCCACACTTTCGCAATTAACCAGCAAAATTCGTTGAATCTTTCATATAATGTTTATGCAACTATGTGGAGTTGATTTTATGAAAATCTAAACATTCCGATAGTTTGGGGACTTTTTTGGTAAAAATACCCAAAAATTGAATTTTTCGTCAATTTTAATATTTTCCATTTTTTTGTGTGTGGCATTGTTCGGAACAATAACAACAATAATAAAATGAAAAGAATCATTTCTAATTAACCCTACAAATATTTTATTTATCGCAAAATATGTAACACATGTTACACAAAGTGTTTTTTATTGAATTTGTACGGATAAACATGATTCTCTACAAGCTTAAAGCAAACAGGACACAAAGATCTATACATATAGAATGGGAAATTGAACAAAATATACACAATGGCTTCATAATTATTTTTTTTACATTTTACAATCACTTCGATCCAGGTGAGAGTTATCTTCCTTGAAAAAATCTGAACTTTTTGCAGAGGGGTGACTTTTACCAGAGACGTATAAATATTATACGTCTCTGCTTTTACACAATGAAAGTTGTCTCTGTTTACATATAACAAAAATGATGGAAATAAATCAAAAATATGATAAAAAAAATAATATCAATTTATTGTTCTTTAATGGAACCAAATTACCCTCATTCATGTACACTTTGGACATCATTCCAGTCTGTTAACTCACGGTATATCTATAATTACATGTCGGGTACATATGTGACCAGAGGCTATCGCATGGTATGCCATTCTCACGTGCACTCACATGCATTTCATAGGTATCTTGATATTTTACAAACATTTTTTTCACAGAATAAGTAGACTACATTTGTAACTCCCTAAACAGCGAAAATCGTAACGACCTCGAGCTTAGGAACTCGCGTAAGCACGTGATAAGCACATGTGAGGTCGGTACGTCCGCATTCCATGAGTTTCCTATATGACCTTCTTGAGGTCGTTTGGTCTCATGTCACTGTCTTCCCGTGAGTCTGTTTATGTCTATGAATTGGAAAGCTTTATTCCTGAAGTACGTGTGATTATACATTTCCCGGTAAAATCTCGATATCGGGTGTTAACATATCATCGGCACGCACGTGTACTATTGTTTACCAGGGGCCTGTTCGTTTATGGGGAGCAACGTTAACCGGTTTGACTGTTTATAAATGTAACAATTTCGGATATAAATCCTGGCGGACCTGCAAATGTGTATGCAGGCCTTGCTAGGCTTTCTGAAGGCTCACCTGAAGGCAGCATCAGATTACTAGGTCCGACCTTATTTAATAAACGAACAACAGTGGTCCGATCGGTTTGACCGTTTAAACGAAAACGGCCCAGGTGTTACTATAATTTGCACTACGATATTGAATGCCTGATACGCAATACGGAAATGACGACACGGTGGGCTCGGCCATTTCGATCACGTAATTGAGTCCGAGCTGTACTTTTTCCACAAGTACGTCACGAAAATGGACGCTGATGACGATATGTGGAGCCACCTTAACCAATACGATGTTTAGAATAGAAATTGGTAAGTGGATATTTTTAAGACGTACCTCGATGATCCAAAGTGGAAATAGCGAGCTGCCTATCTGTTCCATACACTTCCTGGACAAGATGTCTATATGGAAGAAACTGTCAACGAGATTCGGGAGCCAGCTGAAAAAAAAGGTGCAAAATCCATTAATGGTTGGAGGAGCATGCTATCTAACAAGTTAACAGTAGAGTTTTATTCTTATCCCCTGCTTTCACGGAACCGGGGGATATACATTTGAGTCTGTCTGTCTGTCACGCTTTGTTTTGGTGCAATAACAGCAACAAATATTTACCGATTTTCTTCAAACTTGGTCACAGGGTTAAATGCCTTAAGGGCTCGGCCAAGTTCGATGACCACTTTCAGCGGACCCCAATTGGTGGAGTTATGGCCCGTTGAATAATCAAAAACGTCATTATCTGCCGCGCTTCGTTTCCGTGCAATAACTACAACAAATGTTAACCGATTTTCTTTAAACTTGATCACATGGTTAAATGCCTTAAGGGCTCGGCCAAGGTTGATGACCACTTTCAGCAGACCCCATTTGGCAGAGTTATGGCCCCTTGAATAATCCAAAACGTCATTATCTGCCGCGCTTCGTTTCCGTACAATAACTACAACAAATGTTAACCGATTTTCTTTAAACTTGATCACATGGTTAAATGCCTTAAGGGCTCGGCCAAGTTTGATGACCACTTCCAGCGGCCCCCCATTGCTGGAGTTATGGCCCGTTGAATAATCAAAAACGTCATTATCTGCCGCGCTTCGTTTCCGTACAATAACTACAACAAATGTTAACCGATTTTCTTTAAACTTGATCACATGGTCAAATGCCTTAAGGGCTCGGCCAAGTTCGATGACCACTTTCAGCGGACCCCAATTGGTGGAGTTATGGCCCGTTGAATAATCAAAAACGTTATTATCTGCCGCGCTTCGTTTCCGTGCAATAACTACACCAAATGTTAACCGATTTTCTTCAAACTTTGTACGATTTTAATGAAAATTGGTATATAGGGATATTAGGGGACTGCTAATTCAACATCATAGGTTTCGTTGCCGTAGCAACCACACAAAGGCTTCTGATTGGTGGAAATAAAGATATTGTTCGATTTTGATGAAAATTGGTATTTGGGGGTATAAGGGGACTGCGAACTCAACCGCATAGGTTTCGTTTCCATAGCAACCAAATGGAGGCGCTTCTGATTGGTCGAAAGGTAGGGTCAACGCCTATGTGGATTTAACATTAGCATCAGCCCCCACTTGGAATTTCAAAACAAGATAAATCCAAAAAGGTATGGGTATAGGAAGCTTAAATCAGGAACAGTTAGTTTCAGAATTCATTTGATGATAAATGGGAACTCCTTGACTTGCACCTGTGTGAGTGTTAAAGGTGCAGTGATAAATTCCTCCTAGAGCATTTAAATGGCACAGTTAATATCAAATTATATCATCATCGTGTGCAACATATTTCAACTGTTATTTTGATACCGAATATTACACTATTTCAATTAATAATTAATCTTTTTATTTAAGATTTAAGCAGAAAAATGTGTGAAATTTCATTTCTAAAGAGAATTTTTCCATTTTTGACACGTTCATATAGTTCTAAAACTAGTCTATTTTTCATACTTGTTAAAAATTTGGCGACCAATAATATCTTTCAACATCAGGAATTTCAAAAAAAATGAAAACCGGTATACTACTTTTGGTTCAAAAAAAGAAAAACATAGCTTTCCTTCCACATTTCCTTTAACTTGTGTTTCTTCATGACTAAAGGTCCTTACGGCGTTGATTGTTTGGCACGTAGGTTGTTCATGTTAATGAGTTGGTGTGTTATTAATTTTGATGACCTTGACCTTTGTTCAAGGTCAAAAAAAACAAATGTGCCGAAATAAAAAATGTGAATGGGGAGTCAGACAAGGGTTTTTTCCCTTGCTTTATTTGTTTAGAGTTAAGGATATAAAATAGTGTAATATCCCTTCATATTTTGTTTAATGAATAGTCAAAAATGATAACTAGAACTGTAAACCAAAGACTAACTTATACCCCCGCTCCTATACAAACCAGAACTGTAATCTAAAGGCTAACTAAGGCAAAGCATTGCAAATTAATCCATGGTTTCCCACCAGTAATTATGTATGTATATATGTCACTGACATACTTCTTGTACACCCTCCCCATGCCAAAACATACTTTCATATCGCATCTTGTTAGCCTAGATGACCCACTTTTGCTGAAATCGTTCTAGTAGTGAAGGAAGAGTTATCAAGACAAAGATTTTTAACAGAGGGCCTTAACTCCTTAAAAAGGGTAGAAATCAAAAAATACTACCATGATGCAAAGCATCAGGGGGTAATTACCATATCTGTAAGCTTTCATGAAATTGGCCCAGAAGTTTATGAGGCGGACACAGTTTTTGTTCAAGAAAGGGCCATAACTCCTTTTTAAATGGTCGGAATGAAAACATATAATGTCCGGGAGCAGTTACCATATCTGTAAACTTCCGTTGAAATTGGCCCCATAGTTTTGGAGGAGTTGTCTGGACAAGTGTTTTTCAACAAAGGGCCATTACTCCATAAAAATGGGTCAGATTGAAAAAGGAATTCCTGGATGCACACCATCAGATGGCTGTTACCATATCTGGAAACTTTTGTTGAAATTGACCCCTTAGTTTTGGAGGACATGTCCGGACAAGGATTTTTCAACACAAGGCCATAACTTTGAGGGAAAAATGGTCAGAATGAAAAAATTATACCTGGAGGCACAACTTCAGGTGTTAGTTATCATATCTTCTTTAGAATGAGTTGACAGATAGACGGATTGACAAACTGATTCCAGTATACCCCATGTTTGGCATGCTAAAATGTACTTTACCGGTTTTGATATTACATAAAAATGATTCTGTAGACAGAATACATATATAGGAAGTTTTTAAAGAAGTTTAAAATATAGACTACCATTGTAACTATACAAAGGCAAGTTGACAATGTTAGTTATATTTTTAATTTTGTGAAAATTTTGCATGTTTTTCCAATTAAAAGTATCACTACGCTTACTTCATGTCTAGCAATATGACATATTTAGTATCAAAATAACAGTAATTTTATTCACTATACACTGTCATAATTCATTTCCAAATTAACATTTGTCTGTAATATTTATCGGTCATTTTGTTAGGATACCCCCGTTACTCAACCTGGTGTTATGCAAGGAGGTCCACTACGGTTATCAGTTTCAATTATGAATAATCATTTACGCAGTTATTGATCATTTTTATGTATCTACATATGGCAAAAGAATGAAGGAAATCAAAGTGGGGGCCAAATGTTGACCCCACACTTAGATACTTTTTTACTTTTATTAAAAAATTGGTATATAGGGATATTAGGGGACTGCGAATTCAACTGTTTAACATTGTTTACGTACCAAAGTGCAAAGAAAAAAACAATCCAGAAAAACCGTATCCTCAATCGCTGGATAATGGCTTGTTCTTCATGACCGACTGTGGCAGTGAGTCTTGTAAATGATAAAGATACTGAAAGAGAAACACAAATTGAAAAAGTTCTTATTTCCAAAGAGAACATACCCCATACCCCGACACATACAAATCAACAAGCATACTGAATACAAAGGATTCAAAGCAAAACGCCACATACAATTCAACAATACAAAGCATGTAATACATTTCCAATACCCCGACACTCATGGGATTCAAATCAAAACGCCACATACAATTCAACCAGCATACTGAATACAAGGGTTTCAAATCAAAACGCCACATATAATTCAACCAGCATACTGAATACAAGGGTTTCAAATCAAAACGCCACATTCAATTCAACAAGCATATTGAATACAAGGGTTTCAAAACAAAACGCCACATACAATTCAACAAGCATATTGAATACAATTAAGGGTTTCAAAGCAAAATGCCACATACAGTTCAACAATCATATTGACTTCAAGGGTTTCAAAACAAAACGCCACATACAATTCAACAAGCATATTGACTAAATGGTTTCAAAACGAAACGCTACATACAATTCAACAAGCATATTGAATAAAGGGGTTTCAAAACGAAACGCCACATATAATTCAACAAGAATATTGACTACAATGGTTTCGAATCGAAACGCCGCATACAGTTCATCAAGCATACTGAATACAAGGGATTAAAGCAAAATGCGACATACAATTCAACAAGCATACAAAGCATGCAACGCATATCCCACACCCGGCGCTTTGTTACGAAAAGGGTAAAGTGCGTCTATCAACCACTTTAATGTATGAGTTTCAGTTCGTCAAACATGTTGAGCTGTTCAGAATGTATGTTCTACACACGGATTGGAATGATTTGACATGTATGTATAACCCCTAGCTGTTCCACTGATCTTGATCCAGAGAGACATGGGTCATTTGCAACTTATATGACGTACTGCAAATGATTAAAAGACAATTTTCATATACGTGTAAGGGTTACCTGAAATGCTGGCTTTCCAGTACAAGACACAGATCATCACCAGGGAAAGGGCCATTGGTATGTAAGTGGACATGTAACGCCCGAATATAGCTAATTGACCAGCGCATCTGCAATAAAAAGTCACGGGTTAAAATGCGGACGTGTAACGGCTAAAATCATGGCATGAAATTGCCCTAAATCCTCTGAGATGAACAAATGCACTTGAAGAATATTATAGTATTCGAGCGTTTTATTTTAATTCCATATCTACGGATACATGGACGTAAACATTTTCATATACATGTATATTTGTTAAAAAAGACCCACTGATGTCAAAAATGTGGTTCAGTGTCATTTAATTGTTAAATTATAGCTTTGACCAGAAAGAAATTAACAACACGGAGAAAATAGATTTGCTTGTGACGTCACTTAATATTATATTAGTGTTCATTAGATATAACTTACACGGACAGCCCATTCGTGCTTGAATACACAGCAGCAAGACCAGCGATTACGCTTCCACTTGCCACCGACCACGTCAATAGATGGAATACCTTTAACGGGCTTAAAAGAAAAGTCAACAGTTATCTATATTGAAGACTGCCCAATACCAACTTAATGACATCTTACTTCGAATACAAAAAGTTGAGGACATATTCTACCATATATATCGCTTGTGTAGAGGTTGTCTTCCTCCATTTTGTATTGATTATCCTTTACAACGTTTAATGATTTTTATTGTAGAGTTATCGCAATACAAATCCCTTTTAAACTTATAAGATACGGTGTGCATTTCTTTTGGTGAAATAACGTAGCAAAATCCCCTTTAAGTAATAGTGACTCAGTTGCTTCAGTAATTTATTGACATGGACGGTTTAAAGAATTACACTAGAGTGTAACCCGGTAGTCGGGTGTTGGTAGGGGACAAATTTCTTAAATATTGTGTTTTCACATCTGTGCATGCTAACACGTGTCTACCATTGCACGAGCTGTGAGTACAGTAAAACCTCTATATAACGCCCCTCGTTTCATTTACCACCTCGTTTACCACCAAAAACTTCGATGTCCCATTTTCTCCTGTTTCTTAAGAATTCCTCTATACATTTCCTTCAATTTATCGCCAAACCCCTTTATGTCGCCCAATAGTCTCTGTACAAATGGTGGCAGTATATTCATTTGCAAACTCGTTTACCAGCAACATATCTAAAGAATTCCTCTATACATTTTCTTTAATTTATCACAAAACCCTTTACATCGACCAAAATTATCTGAACAAATGGTGGCAGAATAATGAGGTTTACTGTATATATATGTTAATGGAGAAGGATAGTCAATATTATATATTATATATATACTCACACGTGTCTTCCCGCCAGCTGGGAGTGGATGTTTATGGCAAAAGACAGTGTCCAAAGGGCGGACGCCACGTAACTAAAATCTGTGAAGGCCTATAATTGGTGAGTACGAACAGTTGAAAATAATTAGTATATCGCGTAGTGACAGAGTGACGATTACAGTATTTTACTGACAAATGACGCATATATGTGTACGTCAATCATTTAACAATTCTACTACCAGTAAACATTTACCACTTAATTTTAGTGATCTTGAAATGTATTCTAAGCAAGAACAATGACGCTAGAAAATGAAATGGGCTAATCTCATATATGTAGTGATCTCATATATGTAGTGTGAGCAGCTTGAATGCGTGAGACGGCAAACAAACGTCACCACGACGTGACAAACATAGCGATTCTTAAACAAATTGCTTTGTCATTCTTTGATAAGCCTACCTTGTTATGATGAATGTGTCAACGTGAATGATCCGTGGATTTGTAACATTAAGAATGAATTAACTGCCCTAGGTCTTGGTTTTATTTTTGAATTGAATCTACCATTGGTAAACACTTTTGAAATTANCTACCTCCAAAATTCCACCGGCGACCTTGACCGCTTTACTGACACATGGGACGAATGTGGCATTAACGAATGCGTGACACCCTGTGGTATCTGTGGTATTGTTCATTGCAGGGGGCTTTACCAAATATGTAGCCACCGACCGCAGCACGGAGCCTAAATAGAGGACAAAGTCACATCATATAGAGGCTATTTAAACATCTGGTGTTCGTTAGCAAACCCATGAAATTAATATTAAGAAAAGGTGGATGTACTTGCATGATTTTTTTTTATTTTCTTTACAAAATAGCTAATATTCTTTAACAATTTCATACTCAATTTTATGAACATTTCTTTCATTTATGTTGGTTTGTTTTTGTGTAATAATATGCTAGAATACGTTCATATCTTATTTTGACTATACATTGTATCTACATGTATAATATCGTTGTTACAAATATATTGCATAAATGGACCTCTTCCAAAATACTTGTATTGCAGAATGGACATACTATGTCTTGTCGTTGAAATTCCCCCTGTTTCCATGGTTCTATTTTATGCTTAATACTTTTATCTTGCTTTTAACAAGCATTTTCATTGATTTACAAATTTATGTTATCAGCCCATAACGTAAAAAAAAATGACGTCGCCGTTTGTAACGTCGCTTTTGATTGGTTGATACAGTGGCGTAATAATTTCTGAGAGAAAAGAGTCCATCAATAAAATGGATTTCCACAGGGATTGTGCATAGTATAGTAGATTAAATTGTAAGGATTAACTTGAATGTAATTTTCATGTTATGGAGCTATAACACAAAAAACCGGAGTGTACTCTCATCATAAACGCTTCACGGTTTATTTAAAGTACACTCCTTTTTGTGTTATATCTCCATAACATGAAAAATATATTCAAGTTAATCCTTAAATATTATCTAAATTAATATACAATCTATATTTTTTTTTATATAATCGTATCACGTAATCTTCCAAGATAGAAAAACTATCATATACTTTCTGTACGGTTGCTGTTTTTAAATGGTGATATCGGGCAAATATGTGGGGTTTTATCTGATGCAGCCACCCATAGCTAAGACCAACACTGTCAAGGATGATTTTAACATAATGTAACCATTAAAATTCGATATGTCCATTTTCGTGTAATAATAGCAACAATCTATACACACGAATAGATTATTGCCTTCTGAGATCAATATGAACCTGATTTAATCATAGTTAATTGGCATCAAATTTAATCGGGGTATCTGCCTGTTTCATCATATACCATAAAAAAGATGTTTTTTTTCGTAAACCGAGAGTTCGTTTGCAAATTTGTTATGGAAATGTGTTTCTGCAAATATTTAAATTTTTGAAGCACGACATCTTTTATATGTTACTGTATTGTCGCAAATTTACCTTTCGCCCCCGAAACAATACTATACTAGGGGAGAGGGAGTACTTATACACAGGGTGAAATTGGTGTCAGAAACAAGACTATACTATGGGGAGAGGGAGTACTTATACACAGGGGGAAATTGGTGTCAGAAACAATACTATACTATGGGGAGAGGGAGTACTTATACACAGGGTGAAATTGGTGTCAGAAACAATACTATACTATGGGGAGAGGGAGTACTTATACACAGGGGGAAATTGGTGTCAGAAACAATACTATACTATGGGGAGAGGGAGTACTTATACACAGGGTGAAATTGGGGGCAGAAACAATACTATACTAGGGGGTTAGGGAGTACTTAAACACGGGGTGAAATTGGTGTCAGGAACAATACTATACTAGGGGGAGAGGGAGTACCTATACACAGGGTGAAATTGGTGTCAGAAACAAGACTATACTATGGGGAGAGGGAGTACTTATACACAGGGGGAAATTGGTGTCAGAAACAATACTATACAAGGGGGAGAGGGGGTACTTATACACAGGGTGAAATTGGGGTCAGAAACAATACTATACTAGGGGGAGAGGGAGTACCTATACACAGGGTGAAATTGGTGTCAGAAACAAGACTATACTATGGGGAGAGGGAGTACTTATACACAGGGGGAAATTGGTGTCAGAAACAATACTATACAAGGGGGAGATGGAGTACTTATACACAGGATGAAATTGGTGTCAGAAACAATACTATACAAGGGGGAGATGGAGTACTTATACACAGGATGAAATTGGTGTCAGAAACAATACTATACAAGGGGGAGAGGGGGTACTTATACACAGGGTGAAATTGGTGTCAGAAACAATACTATACTAGGGGGTTAGGGAGTACTTAAACACGGGGTGAAATTGGTGTCAGAAACAATACTATACTAGGGGGAGAGGGAGTACTTATACACAGGGTGAAATTGGTGTCAGAAACAATACTATACAAGGGGGAGATGGAGTACTTATACACAGGATGAAATTGGTGTCGGAAACAATACTATACTAGGGGGAGAGGGAGTACTTATACACAGGGTGCAATTGGTGTCAGAAACAATACTATACTAGGGGGAGATGGAGTACTTATACACAGGATGAAATTGGTGTCAGAAACAATACTATACTAGGGGGTTAGGGAGTACTTAAACACGGGGTGAAATTGGTGTCAGAAACAATACTATACTATGGGGAGAGGGAGTACTTATACACAGGGTGAAATTGGGGTCAGAAACAATACTATACTAGGGGGAGAGGGAGTCCTTATACACAGGGTGAAATTGGTGTCAGAAACAATTCTATACTAGGGGGAGAGGGAGTACTTATACACGGGGTGAAATTGGTTTCAGAAATAATACCTTCATATACAAAAGGGTTACGTATACACTGGGTGAGATTGATGTCAGAAACAATATTTTCATATACAGAAGGGTTGCCTATATACACGGGGTGAAATTGGTGTCAGAAACAATACTATACTATGGGGAGAGGGAGTACTTATACACAGGGTGAAATTGGGGTCAGAAACAATACTATACTAGGGGGAGAGGGAGTCCTTATACACAGGGTGAAATTGGTGTCAGAAACAATTCTATACTAGGGGGAGAGGGAGTACTTATACACAGGGGGAAATTGGTGTCAGAAACAATACTATACAAGGGGGAGATGGAGTACTTATACCCAGGATGAAATTGGTGTCGGAAACAATACTATACTAGGGGGAGATGGAGTACTTATACACAGGATGAAATTGGTGTCAGAAACAATACTATACTAGGAGGAGAGGGAGTACTTATACACAGGATGAAATTGGTGTCGGAAACATTACTATACTAGGGGGAGAGGGAGTACTTATACACAGGGTGCAATTGGTGTCAGAAACAATACTATACTAGGGGGTGATGGAGTACTTATACACGGGGTGATATTGGTGGCAGAAACAATACTATACTAGGGGGAGAGGGAGTACTTATACACAGGGGGAAATTGGTGTCAGAAACAATACTATACTAGGGGCAGAGGGAGTACTTATACACGGGGTGAAATTGGTTTCAGAAATAATACCTTCATATACAAAAGGGTTACGTATACACTGGGTGAGATTGATGTCAGAAACAATATTTTCATATACAGAAGGGTTGCCTATATACACGGGGTGAAATTGGTGTCAGAAACAATACTACACTAGGGGGAGAGGGAGTACTTATACACGGGGTGGGTGAAATTGGTGTCAGAAACAATACTACACTAGGGGGAGAGGGAGTACTTATACACGGGGTGACTATACTATGGGGAGAGGGAGTACTTATACACAGGGTGAAATTGGTGGCAGAAACAATACTATACTAGGTGGAGAGGGAGTACTTATACACAGGGTGAAATTGGTGTCAGAAACAATACTACACTAGGGGGAGAGGGAGTACTTATACACGGGGTGACTATACTATGGGGAGAGGGAGTACTTATACACAGGGTGAAATTGGTGTCAGAAACAATACTATACTAGGGGGTGAGGGGTTACTTATACACCGGTTGAAATTGTTGTTAGAAACAATACTATTAAAAACCTACCTATACAGGAGGTTAGATTGGTGAGGGCCAGGAACAGCACTATCACGGGGTTTGGTTGTATAGATTGTCGTCGCTGTTGCTCTGGACTGTTTTCTCGCCTCATGAAGGCCTGTGTTTCCGGAGCATACGTGATGATTTGCCAGGAAGAACCGAAGATGCCTAGGGATGCGGAGAGGAGACTGACGACTGTATAGAGAAGTCTATTCTCCGGTGGGAGCTCGGCCTCCGTTATACAATAAAAGGACGAGTCGTGTAGAGAAGCCATTTAGTCCCATGCACTTTAAAGGTTCTTTATAGAAAGGCGTATTTCTAATCTTCACCAAATTCACTTTCTCACGCTGATGTTGAGCTCCTTGTATATCACATCCATAACAGACTGCATAGAAAAAAAGAAACACTCGAACTTATGAACTACTGATGTTTGATTGAATTGAGACGTACAAACTGTTGGAGATGCCCATTATATATATACACATGTTGTACACAGATGTATACTGTCAGGAAGTGCTGTTGACAAAGAGTAGATAGATATGAAACATCACGACTCGCCTCGTGATAAGATAACAATGAAAAATCGCGATATCCATTTGGTTATATCAATCATAGGAATTCATGTACTGCAGTTTTTGTCAATAATTATCCATTGTTTGAATTGAACTATCTTTTAATTTTAAAATGGGTGTCGGGGGCCTATGTCAAAAAAATGAAAAGGGAGGTAGGTCTTTTTTATGTAAACGGGTGTACGTTGTCCTGTTCAGGGAATGTTGACAAAGCGCATGTAGATATGTACCCTCACGTCTCGCCTCGTGGTTAGATATCTTGTAGAGAGCGTGATAGGACGCACGGTAGTCTAATGGCTCGTGACCGAAGGATTGCAGGTTAGAGTCACGTCACGGCACAGTGTTGTGTACTGGGTTTGCGATGTGAGAGGATTATTAAGAGATGAATCGAAACAACTTCACTCTTCAACTTTTCATTTTATTCCTGGAACAGGAAGTCAAACAACAAAACATAGAAACAAGATACGGAGAGTATAATATAATTTATATCATGTATATAACAGTTGTATCTGTGAACAAGATACTTTGATCCAGTCTACTCAGCTGTAAATGAGTACTTGGTTGGAGTACGTGGTTGGGCAGTGCTAGAATTGTAGAATGCTAGCTGTGAGCGCTGAAATGGCAGCACCTGCTGTATGCTCCCCAGGGAGTTGAGAAAGATATTGGATGGTTGCTAAGGCCCTATAACCACGGATACTCATTTGTGAACCGCTTTGAGACGACCTACGAACTAGGTTGTGATAAAGCGGTATATAAGAACCTCGAATTATTAATCATTATTATATATATATATATATAATAGATATGATTGTCTCAATGTAATACCGCCTATTACCTAATCCTGGCCCCTACATTTTTGTTTCCGTTTAATCTATATAAAAGTTAATGTATTACTAGTATACTTCAGCATTGATTGTCAGTTAGTGAACGAGAATAACACTTGACGTTAGTTAGTTGGATTTATGCTGTGTCGTTGTTTAGCGACTATACATGTAAGGTTCGTGTGTGCACCTTGATGTTGGAGTACTTTTACAAATTTATCAGTGTTTTGCAAGGACACGACCTTGAACTCTGTATATCTATACGAATGGGGTATCTTTAAACTTCTATTTACATATTGCATGAAGTCACGAATTTAATATTTAAATATCTCTTCATCTTTTGTTTGTGTTTATAGAAATTTGTTTACGGTAATAACTTATAACAGTTTTTTTATTGTAGTATTTTTTCGATTGAATTCTGATAGTATATAAATCCATGTGCTAATCATTTATTTGACGTAATAGTGGAAAATTATCAGTACGATAAAGCGATATCGGATTAAAAATACGATATGATTTTGACGTCATTGTGATCGATGTCCAATCAACTGACAGATTATGATTGACGGGTCACAGCCAATAGTATTACCAGTCGTTCCAAGAAATGTATTAAACAGAAAATCCTACGTAACGCTTTTGTTTATTGCTATCCTTCGCCATTTTCCTCTTACAGACCATAATATTAAAGTCTCAGTCCACCGTAGTTAAGTCTTCAAAATATCTAATGAGATTAAAATTAATAGAATCTTCCCCTACCCTGAGAGAGTGACAAAGAAATTTCCAATCCTATGGGTGATTTATTTGTTGTCCAACCTGAGGGTTAGACAACCAAAAAATAACCCCAAGGGTTGGAGATTTCCCTGTTACACCCCATGATATAGGGGATGATTGTTTTTCTCTCCTCCTGTTATTTCATTCACAACTCAATCGAAGTCCAATTTGTAAACAAAAGCATGTTAAGTGACATATAAGTGTTGGCCATTCACCTTTCAATGACGTCACGATCGCCATTGACTTTTTATGACGTCACAATTTTACGACGGTGCTATCCACACGAGGCTGACGAGCTGATCTATTTCGGCTAAAACAGAAGACATATGTAAAGGATGGGAGAAGACTCATATAAGTCTTGGGCTGTTGTCAAATCCTTTACATCAATAATGAAATAGTTATTCAAATTATAGGTATATTTTGTTCTGAATAAAATACTTAACTTACGTGTGATAATACATATATCCAGACGATTAGCCCCGTCTACCCATGCCAAATTATATTTGACAGTTTGACATTCTGTTTGGGTTATAAAGATGCCATTTCAATATTCATAGTAATTCATAGTAATCTTCCATCATTGGAAATCTCGATAGAGATTATTGCGATACCTCTTCTTTTTGCTTTATTAAAGATGAGACGAATCCTATCTTATTAAGGTAAATGCTATTAATTATCATAAATATCTAATACCTAGTTTATGGAAATCTGTCATGGGACTTTATTGTTCAGTGCAGCACACGGAAATTAATGGTCGGTTTGTGAACGTACGCTCAGAACAAGTGACTTTTTGGTTAGTAGCTCAGTGTGCGCACAGATTAGGAGACGTTAGGGGAGTTCAAAGTAGTTCGGTTGTGCGTAGACATAAGATCTACCAATGTAATTGAATTGTGTCATTTTTTGTAGTATTTTACACACTGACATTTCTTCACACATTGTCCTCTACTATCCTACAAATACTTTGGCACTTAGAGACGATCTTTGGTGCCCTTTTAGTACTGAGTTTGATATAGAGCTAATTGCTACTTGCACTCCTTGTCAGATTACAATACAATGAATTATCCTTTTAACAGTGTGCTTAAAATTTTATCGAAGACGAACAATGTCTTTAACATTGATGTTTCATGTTATTTTTGTACATAAGTATATATTTAGTTATGAATTTACTATAAATTAAATTGTATATGGTGTGTTTGTAACTCTTCAAATTGGAAAAATAAAGAAATAATAATAATCTTAAGAATTGTTGAACGTTTTCTCTGTTGCGAGATTGAGTGACCGAACGTGCCCCGCTAACTTGGTGCAAATCCGGCTAACGTTGCAGTCCACATACCTATGACGTCATGAAGCATACGACATCATATTTTCCCGCCACTGTCAAGGCTTTCCACGTGTTACCCCGGGCCAAACTTGTTTTGATCTCAGTCATCTTTGGTTGGCCAAGGTATCTCAGTCTGGGAAGCACATGGGGCTGGGTAATTAGGGTACGGGATAACCCCGATTAGTTGGTAATATAAAGTATTCATAGTATCAGGGATTTATTGATACCCGTTTTGGACAGTATTATACGTATTCCTTATAATATACCACGTATGCAGTATCTTGTAAACCTGTATATATGAAAACTGTTTAAGATATTTCCGTTACTTTAAACGTTTTTTTTATTCCGGAATTCGAAGAAGGGCTTATTCCAGCTGTCTATGCATGTTGGCCAATTCCGTGTCATTGTTTATTATTTCCTATCCTCTTTTCGATCAAAACAATATCTTTTAAATTTTACTTTTGTATTTCAGAATTTACTATTTTTACTTCCCTAATATAAGTAATCTTTAAACTTATTACGGTAGCATATTTAAGGTAGCTTCACGACTTCGGATTCAACGCTTATTCAATGCGCATAAATTAGTGTATTGCAACCTCTATGTTAAACCTTGGAGGTGTGTCTCGAGTTATAGCCCCTTCCGACCTTGACACGGGGGCAATCATACGATGATACGATACAAGTTCATGTACTAGCTGTGGCATAACTTTCATCGAATATGTGTCGAAATAGGTAAGTTTAATCGACTCCTTATTTTAACATTGTTTTATTAAATACACAATGTAAACTTGTATCTAAGCATGTACTCAGTGAAGTGGAGATATCATTTAAGCCATGTTACATGTGTGAATTACAATATGAAGCTGGCGTCAATCATTGATCACAGACAAAACACACGCCGACACGGACATATTTAAACAGTATTGTTGTTTATTTTTTCAAATTACAGTAGGCTATGATACGTTTCAATAGAAATTACTTTAAAACGCATCGAATGCAAATGATTAACTAGAAACATTCTTATGAGGATAAAGTTTAGCCTTGGTACGTACGTTTTAATGAAAACACGCTGGCCTCAATAAAAGCTGAGTTGCTGAATATATACAGGAGTTAGCTAGTCTGATATAATCTAAATGAAAAGATACTCAGATAACAGCAATTCCTTGTGATCTTAAGCGTCTCTTTGCTTAGGTTAACTGTTGTAGTAAGTTATAACTTAGCCTGTGCAGTTAAACTATAGACCAATCTACTGTACACATATCTTTGTCATTTTCCACTTGATTGTTATAACTAGAAACAATGGTTCCGCGCGCAGTAGTAAATTAATTAGATTCGTTCGAATTATATTTGCTTTAATACACAGTAGTATCCTTAGAAAAGGGAGTTTTGGTGATTTTTTGTTACACACGAAAACATGTTAAAGAATTTGAAAATTAAAATCAGCAACACACATGAAGAAAACAAAGAATGTAGATGAAACGGTTGTCCATGTTCCAATAGTCTTACAAAATATTGAACAACTTTTGTGAGTACTAAAATGTCTTATACAAGGAAGAAATATCTTGGTACCAAAACGACTGAGTACAAAAATGTCACAAGGAAGAAAAATCTTGGTACCTAGCGACTGATAGTGAAACGGTGTCGGGTCATTTTGCCTTAAATCCTTTTTGTCCTGGGTCATTTTGCACAAAGTTGTTTTACCCTCAAAATGTATGTAGGTTGAAACCTTGTTTAAGCCTGTTTAGTAGTGTATGGCTAGGCCTACTGCATATATTTTGTTAGTCTTCCTTTGTCTTTTTTGTCATTAGATTGTTTTAACCTAAATACATGGTTGACCATAGCATACATACACATGAAATTCTTCCGACCACACAACTGTTCACAGGGGTCGACACTAACACTAGTCCGCTAGTCCTCGACTAGTAGATTTCAGCAAGGACTAGTGAATCACCTAACCTAAGTGGTCCTTTGGACTTGTGAAAAATATGATTATAAAATAAGTATTACTTTCTAAAATTTAGAAAACTACATGAAATAATATTTGCATGATAATCGTCAGATTTTACCTAAAACTTCCCCATATTTTTATGGCAGTAGATATTTTAAGTCCTCTACCAACGATTACTTTTGATGTTTTGTGCTGTAGATTGCGATGTTTCCTTATCAGGAAATCTTGGACTATAGTTACATTGACGAAGGACTAGTAATACAATTTATTCAACTAGTCCTGTGGACTAACAAATAAAAAAAGTTAGTGCCTATCCCTGGTTCATGAAACATGCATGAACACAGTAAGTTTTTATCATAACAACATCTAAACTGATATTTATAACTTAAAAATGTTTGTATATATATAAGGGTGAAATTAAACAAAACCTTGGGTTATAAAAAAAGATATAAATTTAAATGTGAGTTAAATTCTTAAAAAGTAATTATGGTGAAGCCAGTTTGTAATCAATTTCAATCAAATTTTACCTCAACATAAATATTGAAAATACATAGTTAATTATTATTTTTTGAACAAATTGATGCTTAATTTCATTGTCCAATTTGAAAATGGCTGAAAGTTGAACACACTTTTTATCCATAGGTACTTATTGTCACAGACTTATATATATAGTAAATCTAATTCCATGATATCGTAGAGCAATCATTAAACTTGCAATGCACATATTTTGATTGATGAATAAACAGTTGCCAATTTTACCAAAAGGAACAAAGATGATTTAATCATGGTAAGAAACTACCAAAGAACATTAAATTCTTTGATTTGTGAAAAAAATGCTTTTAAGATAATTTTGAAATATAGCTTCACAACAATTATTTAAAAAAAAAAAAATGAATTTACTATGAATATTTAATGGTCTCAAAATCATTGATATTTGCTTCAAATATCTATTCTGCTGATCTGGTCTTACATTCTTTTTCTTCCAATTATTGGAAATTTGGTGAATATTACCGAAAGAGATTTTGTTCAAAGTTTGACAACTATAAAACCAAATATTAATTCACATATGAATGATAGTACAAATACTGCAGGATTAATTGTTTGCTGAACAAACACTAACCTAATGACAGGAAGACTATATGAGCATTGAAATGAGTTGAAATGAAACTCTGCAAGTCATATGTCATTCCAGGATTTGAACCCTTGACCTACAAACTCGGGGGTCGACGCTAACACTAGTCCGCTAGTCCTGGACTACTAGATTTCAGCCAGGACTAGTGCATCTTCGCTAGCCAAGTGTTCCCTTTGTATACACTCCTCTTAAGTGGAGTGTATACGAAGTGAACACTTGGCTAGTGAATCACCTAGCCTAACTGGTCCTTTAATTTTGGGCTAGTAAAAAATATGATTATAAAATAAGAATATTCCTTTTCAAAATTTTGAAAACTGCTTAAAATAAGATATATTGCATGATAATTGTCAAAATTTTCCTAAAACTTCACCATATTTTTACGACAGTAGTTATTTTAAGTGTCAATTACTTTCAATGATGTTTTTCGTGATGTTGATCTTGATAATCTTTGGACTAGAGTTGCATTAATGAAGGAGTAGTAAATAATCTATTCAACCAGTCCTGTGGACTACCAAGCAAAGACAGTTAGTTATAGTGTCTAACCCTGAAACTCCTATGAAAATACATCTGTCTAGCTTATTGCTGTGAAGGCTTGGTCACCAATGATAAACTAGTCGTGGCACAGTCTCACTACAATTGTATCCAAAATGAAATAAAGGGTATGTTACAGTATGCATGAAAAACAACAGTGGAATTCCCCAGTGTTTTGCCTGCAGTGAGACTTGCTCAGAGAGTTAGAGATCATCAGAATTTGATGAATTTGAAAAAAATAGCAGTATTCAATTAATTTAGCTGATTTCAAAAGTCAGAACTATATATACGGAAAAATTAGGAAGGTTTCATTTTGGTTCAAAATAGAGATACTTGGAATTGACACTATATACACTGTCAAATGTTATGTAATGTACAAGTTGTGGGGTTATTTGTAAGTCTTTAGGAGAAAACTATTTGAGGTAATTTCCTTTTTGCTGAAGAAATATGAATACGACAAGAATCAGTTATATTCAGTAATATAATGAATCACATGTTTAAATAGGATTTGAATAGATATAGCTTTGCAGCATTTTAAAAACATTGAAAGATGTGAAGTGAACTATCGTGTATACATGTGTGTGCAGTCATGATTTATTAATGGCCTGTAGTGTGTAGTAGGCGAGTCTTTCTGCTCCAGTTCTTCCAGCTTGGGGACAATGAAATACATACATATGTCGCACTGTCATCATCAAGTGAGTGTCCTCTTTTTGTATTGGATCAGTGTATATATTCTAATGTAGCCCACTGCCACCGGCTCATATATACATATATACACACACTTGACCACATCATATCTCATCTATTTCATTATCATGTTTAAGCTTTAGTGTTCGTCATGTACATGTTTATGCATGTATTGCTAAACATTTAAACTACTTAAGGCAACAAATGTATATATGACTGTGGGACAACAGGAAATGTGACAGTATCTAGATCTAGACTTGTCTCGGTGTGTTACAGGCCAGGTAATGTACGTACAGGTGACATTTATAATCTATACATGCATGTTGCATTGTTCATTCATATGTTTATTTTGTAAGCGTCATCATCGTTGTCGTTGTCGTAATCGTCGTCGTTCTTTATTCTTCAAAAATGAGAGTACAAAATACATACAGTTTTAAATTTTATATAAATTAAATGTGTCACATTTTGTGAGTTTATATTAGATATAGCTAGCTAGGTCTTCTTCTACACATCCTTTAAATATAATTACATTCAATGGTGAAATAGCGATGGATTTGATGAGCATCAACTACATGTACTGTGATATTTTGTCTCTACTATGTAAACTACATTTATCATATGTCATTACAAATGATGTATGACATTTCAGGTGACAGGTTATAAATAATATATGTATCTGTTGTTTGACATTAGAGTATATATATATCCAATATATATATTTATATCACTTGGGAATGTAGAATCTCCTGTAGAAAATTAGATCTACATACATGTACTGCATACTACGTATACATATTGCTTGGTGTGTATATAGCTGAATGGCGTATTGTCATTCAGAAAATGTGCATTGACAATATAAATACTCTCCATGAGAATGCTGCTGCATTAAAAAATTTGGGCAGGAAGCTTATTAATGTTATCATTCACAGAACAATATGCCTTATACATGTACATATGAAAGATATTTGTTACTTGACAATTTAAATGATTTACAACAGGGAAATATTATATTATACATTTATTGCCCTTACCGGAGGGAAACAAGATTCTTTATTTCTCCGAGGTTCAAAAGCCATAGGGCATTTGTACATGATGTTACATACATAAACTGTTACGTACAGTTTGTGAATGAAAATAATTATGTCTGTTTTTTTACAAAGTTTATATCAATACTTAAACGAAATATAGACTAGAGTTCTTTAACCCTTTCACAACTGTAAACCATAATGGACTCATCCATATCAATGCATGGTAGAGTCGACTAAAGTTACATAGGGGTGAAAGGGTTAAGATACTTCAGTTCTTTCAGTAGAACCTTGATACTAAATGATAGCTATATATATAGTATGTTTTTGGCTATCCAAAATGAGATTAGACTCTTGGGTTTTAAAGCACGTGTCTATTTCATATAATGGTTAGTGTTTCAACTCTTAAAAATCCAGGAAAAATTATATTTGACCTATAAATGTCAAGGGTCAACTGAAATCATACGAACATTTATGAGGAAAGAATTAAAGGCAGGCTTGAACAAAAATCTCATGTAACAGCTGTAGGTAAATATTCAATTTTTCACTTGCAATTGCCCTCACGTAAAATTTACTCGTCCCTGGCATTGATCGCGTAGGATTTTACTCTGTTGGTATGCACATGATTTTGTGTTTAACGTTTGGTGACGTATTGACTGATATTTTGTATGTTTATAGTCATTAACATATTTGATATATAAATCTGATGACACGTGAGCCCTTGCCTGGAAATCATAAATTTTAATTGTCATTATTGTACAATGGGCCTACAGACAAATGTTTGTCAATAACAAACAATAGCTCAACTTATATTTTCATAGTAAATCCTGAAAATGTTACTAGTCCTTACATAAAATCTATTTCTCCTGTAGGTTGAGCTAGTGGAATGGAGTATGTACACCCCTGCTAAAAGTGAACAATGTTAGTGTCCTTTGTCCTGTATAGTTTATTGAACAATATTTTTTTATCTTTAACAGGAACAAGATGAAGTGAAAATTGACTGAAACACATTCCCAATACAGATGATTATCTTTTCATGATGGCATGGGTGGTAGTTGGCGATTGTGAGGAAACATGATTGACCAACGTCGACAAAGGTCATCTGATCATAGCCTTAGCTCCTTTCTGTGCTTTGACAGGGACTCTCCTCCCTGCTCCACATCATCACCCAGCATCATCAGCCATGAGTTCGTCCAAGCTGACTGATTTACTTTGTAAGGGCCAACATGATATTGATCCAAACGAGAATCACAAAGCTTTGACAGAAAATACAGACAACAGCAGTCGGAAGGGGTTAGCATCGTTTATGGTATCCGTTACGGTGATGCGAAGACGTAGGACCTCTCCGCAAGTTCTACTTAAAGCTAGCATTACAACAGTTTTGGTGGTGACTGTAGGGTTCATTATACTGTATACCATTTTACTGAAGTATTTCTCCAACACTGTGCCTTATGTGCCTGAGGAGTGGGAACGGGTACGAAGTCAGTACCACGCCCATCACAGGCCAAAGCTCATACCCAGGCCCATGGACCTAGACCCAAACAACTATGTGACTTCAAAAATACAAAATAAACCTCCAAAATGGAATATATCAAATTATGATTTTAATAATAATTTAGGAAATACCAAGTTATGTAGACAAAAATATCAGTTTCTAGTTCTCATAGTGTCGACCAGAACAGAGTTTGATCGTAGAATTGCTATCAGGAATTCGTGGTGCCAGCCTCAGAGGCACAACCTGCCTCCTGATGCCTGGGGATGTGTCTTTCTCTTAGGGGTTGGTTCACAGCAGGAATCCAATAGTGATACAGTGGATCGACAAATAGATCTGGAAATAAAAACTTACAATGATGTACTCAAAGGCAGCTATATAGACTCCTACAGGAATCTCACCTATAAGGTTTTACATGGACTTCACTGGGCCAGCCAGTCATGTCCAACAGAATTTGTGCTGAAAACAGATGATGATTGTTTTGTCAATACTCACCTGTTACATATACTCATATTGCACCATAGAGATGCGAATGACTTGTACATAGGTAGTGTGTCCAATAAACCGCACGAGGTGCTGCGGGACCCTAACAGTGTGTGGTATGTGCCCGAGGAGTGGTACGGGGAAGAGTTCTACCCTAGGTATGCCAGCGGGGCTGGCTATCTTCTGTCCTCGGACGTCGTGACAAGACTTATAGACGTGAGCAGGTATAGAACACCCATTCCTAACGAGGATGCCTTCATAGGAATCCTCGCACAAGACATTGAAGTGAAACCTTTACTGAGTGGCCGCTTTACAATGATGAGCCTGGGCTGGACCCTGTGTAATTACTTGTACCTAGTGGTCATCCACAAGGTGCTGCCCGACCAACAGGAGAGGATGTTCAACAACACCATCGCAGCCAGGACCAGTCACCTGTGTTCACCAGCTCCTAACGAGCAGAGACTCACCTGGAACTAGGGCAGACACTGGCATGGTAGGTTAATACAAGACTTAATCTCTTACTGGTACTACCAGAAGGACCAAAGGTTTAATTTGCAATCCATCAGTTTGTAAGTCAGTGTGTCACTTTATTATATCTCAAATACTCATTTAATGTTACAGATGTATACATGTCAGTAACTTTTGGAATGGCTGAATGTCAAATACTTAATTTGGGTTAAATGCATGCCCCAATATATAAAGAGTTATAGCCCTTTGTGTCACATCCAGGACATATATATATAGAGAGGTATAGCCCTTTGTGTCACATCCAGGACATATATATATAGAGTTATAGCCCTTTGTGTCACATCCAGGACACATATATATATAGAGTTATAGCCCTTTGTGTCACATCCAGGACATATATATAGAGAGAGTTATAGCCCTTTGTGTCACATCCAGGACA